CCAAAATTTCACAAGCATAGTCTAATAATATATCAGGAAGGTTGATTGTAGTTCTTGTGCTGGGATTGAAGAAGAAAATCGAGTTCCTGCTTCGAGACATTAACAACCACCCGTACTTGGCGTGGCGGATGTCTGCATCCACTATAGATCGGGACGAAAAAATTCCACAGACCTGCGCCCGACGATGTAGCTTTTAAATTCCGTCGGAAGGACAAAAGACATGGACTAGAAAATCGTTTCGACGAGGTTGCAGGAGAGAGCGTGAGACATGGACTAGAACATCGTTTCGACAAGATTTCAGGAAGCGAGCGGGGTGGAGGAGAGATATGTAGCCACGCTTTACAGACGAGGCGGAGGCGAATGCAATCACCCATGAATAGACCTAATTGAACCAACTCTATGAGATCCCTGGGGAGGTCAGCCCACGGTCTTTTCTCATCCTCCATCTCTTCTTCTTCTTCATCCTTCAGTTCTGCTGCTACTCCTCGCTCCTCCCCACAATCCAAAGCTAACTTCATCGCCATGTTCTGCGCAGGACGCGACACCGGGAATAAAGAAAGAGAAGGAAGAAATAAACAGTGATTGATGGCTTATCATATTGTATCTCTCACGAGTCACGTCACGAGCATATATATATAGCCGGGGACCGGGGTTTCTAATTTGTTTCATATCTCAACTAGGAAAAAGCCAAGTCACACTATTAAGTCCTAACTAAACTCCAATGGTCCAATCCAATTCTAATTCTAACTACGTACGTACCACTGACTCCACCATACACATCGGGCTGTTAATGGACGGGATATGGGCCCAATCCGACTCGGTATAAATCCATTACAGATGGACCGCGGGTCCAATCCTATCCGATCAATTCTAGATTGGTCCAATTCAATGTTTAGACCATCCAATTTAAACCTGGTCCATTGACACCTGTACTCTTATCTTTTTGGTTCAATTTGCTCCGAGTTTAATATAAATCCATTAGAAATGGATTATGCCCAATCCAATCCAATGAATATTTTGGACCATTAAGTTTGGACTGATCCAATTTAATATGTCTTATTGGTCCTTCTTCCAATCCAATTAAATTGCTTTTGATTTGGATGGAATCCAACCAAATCCAGTCCATTGACACCTTTATTTAAGCAGAGTTGGCTGCTCGTTTCATTTGTATCCATGTCTGTTTATCTATTCCAATTTATCATTTGCTATTGTATGTAGAGTAGAAATTTATTAAGAATTCAAATCGCCCCACAGAACATCCCCATCTTGTATTGGGAACATCTCCCAATAACAAATACGAGCGATGATGAGACATCACCAGGAGATGTTCCCAATACAAGGTTGGGATGTGCTGTGGGCATTGTGGGGCGTAGATGTGAACTCATTTATCAATTACAATGAAAATAAATGCAACACTCCCTGGGACACCCACCAATTCTCATCACCCATGGATGTTGGATAACAAATAGATTTTCTTTTTCTCTACTGAACTTACGGGCACTGAATAACTTAAAAGGGATATGATACATCACTGATAACTCTCGATAACAAAATGACAATAGAATGTATAAACCAACATTTCCCATACTTGTTTTTATAATTCATAGGGAGATGTTCCTAATACACGATGGGATGTGGTTGTGAATTCAGTGTGAGGAGCAGATCCCAATTTCTTTTATCCTGCCCAACTAGGCTGCCCCCTGGCCCCTTCCCACCAAAAGTAAAAAAGAAAAAAAAAAGAAGAAAACAAAAGAACAACAGGCCTAGTTGAATGTCTGATATAGACATCAATGAATGGGTCTCAACTAGGATATTGGCCATGACAAATTAAGTAATAACAATGAAATGAATTTTAACCATTTGATCTAATTTTGGTTTTGCCTATAAATACTCCTTGTAACTTAAAAAAAGAATGTTAAAAGGGATATTATCTAAAATTCACCATGATTTTTCACATTCTCTTAAATTTATCTTGACTTTTCAAAACCTCAAATAGCCTTCTATTAATGAGTTTTATTTGTTTAAAACTCACATTCCGTTAGATTTCCGGTAGTACATTGTTAGTGATTATTAACAAAAGTTGTCCACATAAATATTTAAGTATTTTACAAAACCAATCTACCCCTGAATGGGCAGTCAATCTTATTAAATAGTTTTATGGCAAAATTATGCCAAATCCGAGCCTGGGTCACACTAGGCCTGCAATTTTTAATATGTATATATGTTATTCTATGTTATAATATATATTTTACATATAAATATTATAATATGATATTTATAGTATATTATATATAATATTTTTATATTAATAATGTATAATACAAATTTATATGCATATTGTAATATATGCCATTTCAAATAAAATATTATATATGTAATAGTTTATATGTTAAAGATATAAGCCTAGGTTTTATGTTTTAGGCTTGGAACCTAGGTTGGGCCAGGCCTAGGCTATAGCAATTATCATAGGTACAAAGCCCGACCCAGGATCAGTTTCACCCATGATCACTCCTAAATTTAACCCATCAAAGAATATATATGTATAATTATTATATATGGGAAATTAAAGGTAATTTTGTCCTAAAAATTTGTAATAAGGTTGAGTGGCCATTTAGGGGTAGTTTGGTCATGTAAAATACTTAAATGTTTATGTGGACAATTTCTATTAATGATCACTAACAATGATCTAACGAAAATCTTAATGTAATGTGAGTTTTGGACAATAAAACTAACTTTGGAGGTTTTGAAAAGTCATGGTGAATTTTAGAAAATATCCCTTCATTATAACATGGCTATCCTTAATTGTTTTGTAATGATGTTATCATTCCTGGCAAGCTTTTTTTTGGCGATCTTCGAGTTCTCTCTGACAATGTTCAAGGTCCAAATGTTTCGACTTCTATAATGACATGGATGGGTGGTTTTTTTTTTTGCACATTTTACGTCCCTACAATTACAAGTTACAACTTCTTTTATGCACTTTTGGCTTTCTATGGGGCCCATTCCTTGAATGTTTGGATGGTAGAATGTTAGGGAGAGTTTTGTAACAGGAAGCAATCTTGGGCCTCTCCCGCTCTCACATTTTCAATTAATGCCATGGATTGGGTGCCATAATACCTGTTTTCTCTATACCCCTCGAGGGTTTTGCATAGTTGATTCAGACTCATTTGGTAGGGAGACACACTTTCTAGCTTCACCTCTGTTGGAGGCATTTAGCTGACCTTTTTGGCATTACCTATATTTGCGTCAATTGCAAAGATTTCTCAAGTCGTTTTTTTCTCCAGGTGCTCGTGGTTACCTATTTTTGTCTCAGCATGCTTAACATTCTTTTTTGGTTATATTTTTCATTGCTGTTACTTTTTCTATTTTGTAACCTGAGCATTTATGAATGAATTTGCCTTGAGGTGTCAGAAAAAAATTGTAATGATTAAATGCTCGAAAGCTTTTGCTTACTGAAATTATTTTGGAAGACAGTCATGGCTTGATCCTTGCCATTTCTCTATATTCCCTTTGGTTGATTTTGTTTCTCCATAAAATGAATGGGAAAATTTTCAAACCAAAATATTTCATTTATTATTTCCATCCCTTGGAAAATTTTGCTCTCCACCTCTTAATTTGTGTTGATGAGATGGTTTTCAATGTAAAAAGTTAAAAATGTAGCTCAAATATTTTAGCCTGTAAATTTTTGTACGTTTTACTTTGAATCAAAAACAGCCTTACACTCTTGCCTCCCCACCCCCACCTCTTAAAAAGAAAAGAAGCCTTACACGGCCTTTGTAGTAAGGCTGTGAAGAAGGGGAAACAATTCAATCCCTATAATTAGGGATAGCGATTCAATTCAGCTCCTTCAACCGCATCAAACAAGGGAGACTGGATTAAATAAAAGTAAAGAGAAACCCGCACAACCCACTCTACATGGGCCATAATTGTGTTCTTCGAAGACTCTTAAGTGATGGAACATTACCAAATTGGATAAAAGACTTGGGATCTCCCCTGAGATTTCTAAGACATGGTATTGGAGGGACTTTGGACCAATCAAAGCACCCCGTGAATTTTGATTAATACCACCTAATTGGTTACCACTTTTATGGTGCCACTTGATTGCCCGCAAGCTTTTTTGGTATCATAATCAAACCCTAAATACTTACAACCCTCTTTTTTTTCTAACAGGACTTATGCCTCCCCAGTCATAATAAAATGCCGTTATATTCAACAGAATTAGAAAAATACTATTTTACCCTTAATTTTCATTCAAATTTTCAAAGAGAGCCACTACCATTGTTCTTCTGGGTGGCTTTGCCGATACCACCCACTTCTGGTTCATCATCATTACTCTTGGTTGAAGAAGCCAGAATTTTCAATCTAAGTCTGAGCTCAAATGGCAACACAGTTTACGTGGCAGATTGAAGATGCTGGGATATATAGTTTCAGGGTGCTGAAAATCCAAATTCCATTTCATTGTTCAAAATTTCAAATCATAAAAACAACTTTCTATCAAGTTACTAAAATTCAGCCACAATGCCGCCATGATCGACAATGAAAGAGAGTATTTATATATCAAGATTCAGCTTCAACAGAGAATGCCAACATGGAAATGGGTGCAGGATGGGTTTTTCTATCTCCAAACATTAGCAAGTTATTCCATTGACATCAGCTTTTATCAGTCAGCATATGTGATACTATTCCTTGAAAGACTTGTTCAGAGGATAATGGGGACTTCAATAATGATCCTGATGTCAGAACCAAAATCTGCTCTCAATATTTTCTTGTGTTGGCATTGGCTGAAGCATTGCTGCTTTTGTGGAGAAAGCATACTGGGGGCGGAAGGTCATTTATTGATGCAACATTAGCAAATTTCTAGGTTTCTCTTTCTAGAATATTTCTTTACTTACTCGTGCTGAACAATATTATCAAATCATAGGCCGTCCAACTCTTACCAATTCTATGGACTGATGAAGAATATTTTTCTAATTTTGATGTTCTGTTAAAGAATGATTCTGAGCTCCAGTGAATATATATATATATATAATGATGACGTGATTTCTTTACACTCTTAAAAATAAAAAATGAGAACTTTACATGGACGTAAGAAAGGAAAGTATATTGTTATGGAGGGGATCTGAGATGTGTTCAAGAAGATTTTGTAGAGGACCTTTACCAGTTAGAGCTGCTTGGAGATAGAAACCTAACCAGGCAACCATGGCTAAACGCCCATTTTTTATCTCTTTCACCTTCAGTTCTTCAAAAGCCACTGGGTCCTTGGATAGGCCCAAAGGGTCAAAAAGTGTACCTCCAGGATAATTGATGTCCCCTGGCAAGTATATTCCTAGAGGCTCAAGGGCTTCAATACCGCAATATCTTGCATACTCAGGTCCCACCTATTTACACAAGTGAAAAAAATATATATATATATTAGAAGATTAGAAGTGTATCAAAGTTTTCAGTTACAAAAGACAAATCTTGGTCCCTATGGTGGCCAATCATCTTCTCAATGTGGACCTCAAACCACCTGTTTTATTGGTTCGGTTTACATTCAGTTTATAGATGTTCAATTCTGACCATTTAATTTGTCTATTAAATCATTCCAAGAGGAGGGGGTAGTCTAAGATACTCCCTTTATATGGTATACCATCTTTTGAACCATGAGCACGAGCATAGGCATGGCATCTTGGCAAAACAAAACTTTTTTTTTTGGAAGCACTACATGAAAGCAGAAGATTATAAAGAAATTGTCAAAAAAGAATCCAGACATGAGGATCAGATATACATCAAACTTTTACTATCCATATGCTGCACTGGGATCTGAGACCAAGATGGTACTTCAGCAAGGGAAATGGTGAATTAGATGGTAGAGATTATGATATATATGATTGAGTTCAAAATAACAACTCAGTAATTCCCAACAATCATGGATAATAGCTGATGAATGTGATAAAAAGAAACATTAAACAATAATATGCATACTATGATATCGGAAAGGCATGATATCTAAAAAAATAACCAATCAACTAGTATCATCAAAGTGGTTACCAATAAGATGGTATTCATTGGGAATATATATTGTTAATTATAGATCCATGGTTTGGGAATAAAATCAACTCTTAAGCATTCTATGCACATGCATCCAAACTGATTGGACCTCATGGATAAGAAAAGACATCATCCACAAGATTTTACAGATTAGATGGTTAATATCATTTGTTAAGTACATACACCAAGAGGATTTTGAATGCTGGAAATGGGGTTAGGAAATGCACTTTAATGATGGATTTCAATCCCTTACATGCATGCAAATTTTATGAGACATAGGATAGAAATATTCTACCATTATGATAATATTGCTCTATAGGGAAAAAGAAAAGGAAAAATATATAGTAAACTTGGTACTTCATAAATTTATTACCATGAGAAGGGCTTGGCATATAGCTATAACGATCACTCCTTGGCTTCCAGCAATGTGAAGCCCCGGGATGCCGAGGTAGTCAAGAGTATCCCCCTGGTGGAATGTATGCAAACAAAAAGGAAAATCACTTGAGTTTTCCAAAAGAGTTTCTAACTGACTCCTTCCAGTTAGAAAATAAGGAACACATTACGTTCAAAGCAAGAAGGTAGATTTAAAATGAAAACTCAGTTTATGCTCCAGGGAGATGGTTGACTGCATGGAATAGCTCCACAATATATTAATGAAATAGAGACCATGTCACTTACCTTGAGTTTTGCATAGCCAACACGCCACCATACAGGCTCAACAAAGTGAACAGTGCCTGACAGGTCCAACAATTCGGGAATCAGAGCACCAAGAGCTGCAAGCATAGCCCATCGAGCATGCAGTATTTCAAAGCTGCAGAAAGGAATAAATACTATGTTCATCCTTTGAAAACTCAAATTCCAAATTAATAAAAGCTTTTACATCCTGTTTTCTGCATTAGGAATGAGATATAAAACACAAGTAAAATAAGTTTTAAATGAATCATGTTTAGATGATGCATCTCATCCATGGTTACAAGGAAGTAAGAACCAATATTAACATTTAAGTGTGTTTCCAATGGAACACTTTCCGGGACCACAAGTGACTTTCTTTTGCTTTTCTTTAGTTCTAAACTTTGCTACCTAGAGGATATCAGTATAAAATATCCTTGACAACACTAACACCACTAGTTTAAACTTAAAATTTTGTGTATGGAAAAATATCAGAAACAGACAAGTATGATATGAAAATAGATGGAGAGACAAAAAGTCTTCATACTTGAAGTATTTCTGAAAAGAAACGGGATCCTTGCTCAGGCCCACAATGTCAAAACCATAATCACCAGGTAGTTCTCCTGTGAGATATGATGGGTAGTCATACTTGATTGGACCAAGCCAGCGAGGACGTTCTTCTCCATACCAAAAACTGCAGGGAGACCAAAGATCTTATCATGAAACAAAACAAGTTTAATTAAGACCAAAATGCAAGGAAAAATGAGAATCTAGTTGTAGATACACTTAGAAACTGTTTCATAGACAAGTATTAAAATTGTTTTCAACCTCTAGAAAAAAGAATAGGAAAACAAGAATACAAAACCAAATTTTTACTAACCATGCAAAATCAAACAGCTGGTAATGCTAGTAGTACATATCAGAATGCATTCCGTTCTCCTATTTTAGAATCCCAAGAAAATGTTATATAAACTAAGAAAAAATCAATTAATGAAAGTAAACTATCAATGAGGTCATGACTAGAATGCATCATATAAGATAATGATAAATATCCATCTTAAATTGTCAATGAGGTCAGTACATATCAGAATGCATTCCATTCTCCTTTTTTAGAATCCCAAGAAAATAGTATATAAACTAAGAAAAAACCAATTAATGAAAGTAAACTATCACTGAGCTCATGACTAGAATGCATCATATAAGATAGTGTTAAATCAGTGTTCACGCTCTCTTTTATCAGCATTATTGGGATGAGGTTGGCCCAGATCTACTACAGTTTGTAAAATCAGTGTTCCGAAATCCACAGTTAGTCAAAGAGGTAAATGATACCATGTTAGTGCTCACTCCCAAGAAAATGGGAACAGCTATTCACCTGATTGGACTCACGAATGTTCCCTACAAAGTGATGACTAAGATCATCTCCTTCAGATTGAAACAGTTCTAAATGATCTTATCATACCTTTTCAGAATACTTTTTTGCTGGGAAGACAAATCCATGACAACAGAGTAATTGCTACAGAGATTGTTCATTCTATGGGGAAGTTGAAGGGTAGGGAGGTTTCATGCTTAAATTGGATTTATCTAAAGCCTATGGAAGAGTAGAGTGGGGCTTCATTCCGTGGAGCCTACAGAAACAAGGCTTCTCTTCCCATTTTCGGTCACTTATTCGGGTTTGCATCTCAACTTCCAACTATTCTATTCTAATCAAAAGGAAATGTAGAAGCATCCTTCAAGCCTGAGAGAGGACTTCACCAAGGCTGTCCTCTCTCACTGCATTTATTTATTCTTTACATGGAACTCTTCTCCAGGATGCTCACTAAGAAGATGGACATTGGGGAACTTCATGGTTTTAAGCTTTCCAGAAACTGTCCAAGGCTGAATCACCTCATGTTCACAGATGACATACTTCTTTTTTGGCAATTGTTCCACTAGCGAATTTATCAACATTAAGATCACTCTTGAGGAGTTTGTAGATGCTCAGGTCAAGAGGTAAACCTTACAAAGTCTTCTATATTCTTTAGTAGAAATGTACACCACAGAAATAGAGGGACTTGCCTGTCTGATGAGAATAAACATCATGAATGGAAAGGAACACTACCTTGGAGCCCCACTGTTGTCCAATGAAAATTCTTATAATAACTGGAAGTTCATTGTGGAGAAGTGCCAAAATAAGCTTAAAAGTTGGAAGACTAGCTGTCTATCCCATTCAGGAAGAGAAACACTAATAAAGTCCAATATTACCTCTATTCCTTCTTACTTTTTGGCTACACAACAGGTTCCACATTCAATCTGTTCGCAAGTCAATGCCATTGCCAGAGACTTTTGGTGGGGCTTCACACCAGGAACCTCTCATATCTACATTCATGGCTGGAAAAAATTCATGGTAAGAAAGGATTTGGTGGGCTAGGCGTTCACAATGCCAGTTTGAGAAACAGAGTACTTTTCATGAACCCCTACCAATGATGTCAGCATATTCACCAAAGGGCCCATCGTGATGTGGCATTGCTGAAACATAGATGCAAACAGGTGAAGGAGGGAATTAAGATCAAACCGGTCATAATGATAGCTGCTGACCATGCACAAATTGCTGAGCTTGTAGAGCTAAAACTCAAAAGGAAAAAAAGAAAAAAAAAAAAAAAGAAGAGGACTCTCCCAGCACTATGAACAGACCTAGTTACTAATTGGTCTCCTCCACACTACCCTTTTGTTAAATTAATGTTGATGGGGCTACAAATGGACCCAAGTCTGGCATTGGTATAAAAATGCAAGACCATCTCTAGGACTGTTACTTGGTCCCTTCCTGATTTTCCCAGGCCTGTACTGGACAATGAGTTGATGCAATGAATTTGCCTACGGGATTTCCTTAAAAAAAAAAAAAAAATTGTAAAAGGAGAAACATGCGTTGCATGTCCACATTGATGGAAATGCTTGTGAGGCTTTACTTGCATATCAGGATATTGGTAAAAGTATATGTATGCTCCATAACAGAATCCTCTTTCATTCACTATAACAAAGATAAGATGTTATAGTAAAAATAAGATAAAATAAAAAAATCCGAATTTTCTTTCTTGGTAATACAACTTTAATTGTCAGAAATTTATAGTACATTGCAACTTCAACTACATAAATCTATTTTCTCTATCATAATTACAGATCATTTTAATACTCTTCAGAGTTAAATCGTCTTATTTTTGTTTGTTCCATATCATGCTCTCATCCAAATGCAACAAAAAATTATACTCGTAAAATCGTTGATAATAAAACGTAAAAAAAAGGAAAAATGAAATTACAGAAGAAAGAACCAAGACCACATTTTGAGGAGGAAAACAAACTTGAAGTTTGAACCTCAGATGCTAAGAAACCCGGACAAACATTGATTTTTCTCAGAAATAAGATACACCTCAAGGATGCACATCATATCACATGTAAGAAAGAATTAAAAGGAATGGGAAAATACTTTGAATTAAAAAACAATACTTTTAAAAAGAATAGATAAAAAATTCGAGTGCTCTGATATTCGAATTAATTTGATTACCTCTCCTCTCTCGCTTTCTTGGATAAAGCCTTGAAATTCGAGGAACGCTCAATTGAAGCCTTCTTCGTCTCTTCCATTCGCCTCTGAAGCGTTGCTCCTATGGAACTGTTAGCTATGGCTTTCACGGCAGTGAAAGGAATCGCAGAGAAGATGAGAACTCCAGCGAGCTTCAACAAGAACCCAAAAGCATATCAGAACTTAAATAGGTATAAGTCTTCAATTCCTCAATTACACAAAACCCTAGAAATGCAGAGACCTCTTGCCATGATGCTCTGCAACCTGAATAGGACTTCTTGGGTCTGAATCTGAAATCACGATTTCGAGGTTTCAAATGGAGGTGCTTCAAAGCGAATCCTTCATGATAACCCAGAAACAGAGACGAAGCAGAAGAAGAGAGAGACGAAGATGAAGCCTGTGGTGTGAGCAGAGCCATGGCCATTTACTTTGCGTGGAGCTCGATGATGACACAGAAAAAATGAAATTTCTAGTGAACTAACGGACCAAGCGGTTCAACGACTCCTGATTAAAAATCGAATCGATGAACTACGAACCGGGTCTAATTATTAGCCGTCTGATATTTGGAGGATGCAACGCTTTTATACCATATCTTTGACTATAACGGATTGGATGGCTATGATCATGTCATTGGATCATCATTTTGTCCTGGACCTCTTAGGTGGATCCTATTTACAATACTTTTAACTCATGGTACACTGTAACTATTGGTATACTAAAAAGTACTAAACCGTTACCTCAGACCCGATTCTTCTTCTTATCTAGCTTTTCTGTGGACGGATAGCTTCGGCTGACTGTGAAGTGTGAAGTGAACAACAGCAACAATGGCTTCTGCTGCTTCTTCTCTGATGTTAACATACGCCTCTCCAACAGTTTTTCCTTCAGAGACCCCCTCTTTATGCTTCAAATCAAGCCCCGTCTCCCCTTCCTCAAGGAGCTTCTCCGTCTATCCGTTAGTTTTGCAGAGCAGAGGAAGGAAATCTTTTAATTGGGTTCAAGTTTCTTCTAGGAAAGAATCTAAATTTGATTCTTCACTTGTCGTTGCGGCAGCTGTTGCTGCTGAAGCAGAGGTAGCTGAGGACGTCGAACAAGAGGGCACCGAAGGCAGCGCTACTGCGATTGCGCCGGCTCCGTCGAAGCCTAAAAAGGGGAAAGCAGCATTGCCATTGAAGAGAGACAGAGTAACCCACTTCATACTTCTCATCTAATTCTTGTTGGTATTGTGAATTATGACTGTTTTATGTGAATTAGTTACTTGGTTTTGCTTGATTCTAGTATTTATTGTATGGGTATGAGGTTTTGGATTTTCTGGTTTCTATTTTTATTGAATTATCAAATAACATGCTTAGTTTTTATATGGATTTTTTTTGTTTAATTTTTTTGGTCTGCTTCTCTTCCATTTAATTCCTTTATAGTCTTTCTGGGTTTTGTTTAATTTTGTGTTGTTGGTCTCCATGTATTTTATTTGTTTATTTTGGTTTCATTTGCTGAAATTTATCTTATATTTTTCTTTTTGGTTTGAAATTTCAGACGAGGTCTAAGAGGTTCTTGGAAATTCAGAAGTTGAGGGAAAATAAGAAAGAGTATGATTTGCCCACTGCTATATCACTTATGAAGCAAACGGCAAAATCTAAGTTCGTAGAGACGGCGGAAGCCCATTTCCGACTAAACATTGACCCTAAATATAACGACCAACAGCTGAGGGCTACTGTAAGAATCTCTTTTTTTAGATTTTGGGAAGTGTTTTTTTATTAGGTTGTTGATCATTAGAGGTTTCTAACATGTCTTCATCTGTTTTTGACAGGTGAATTTACCTAAGGGAACTGGTCAGACTATTAGAGTAGCTGTGCTTACTCAAGGTGGGTTCTCTACTTGTCACGTTAACTCCTTGATTTAGGATGAAGCAAAACAGAAGAAAGATAAATGAAAAGGAAAGTAAAAAAATAAATAAATAAAACAAGGAAAAGGGCAATATGCAAGGAATCAATATAAGTGACTAAAACTGCAGTATAGGGTCTAAAAGAATCAATTTAAAAGTAATAATTTGAACTTCTAACAGTCTCAATTTGAAGATGTGAATAAGCAATATAATCCCTGGTGTTTATGGAGATAGTTGTCCAAGGGTTGTATATATTAATGTCTCTCTGTCTAAGATGCCATCTCCCCACCCAACTAGTATTCATCTTTGCTTAACAGTTGAATAGAACATAAATCAATGACATATCATGACAGGAACATTTAAGTACCTAGGTAAAATTTTGAACTTGTTGAGAGTCAAGTGGAAGATCATTTGGCGTAGAAGCAGTTATATGAGAAGGCAGATTAATAATTGATATTTCATATTGAAATATTTATTGTCACAAGAGAACACAAAAAAAGTGTTAAAATAACTTGGAAGGTGTGGTTCTGCTTGCTTTCAACCAAGTGAACTATGCAAGAATGGCTTTATTGGTTTGAGATGCCAACAGTCTTTGTATAACACTTCTATTCAGTCTAAAATTGTGCCTGAATGATTTTTGCATAAAACTGTAAGGCCACTCCAACCCCCCCCCCTCTTCACAATATTTTTTTTTTCTTATTGATCAAAAAAAAAGAGGAGTTTTTCTTTTTCTTTTTTCTTTTTTTGAGCAAAGTTAAAGTATCAATGTATTGATGAAAAGGTCCTTTGTACAATAAGAATCTGTACACAACAAAACAGAAGGACCTCAAAAAAAGTCCATCGTGAAAAAATTACAATCAGATGTATCCCCTTTAAAATCAGTAAGTATAGCCAACCAACTTCTAACTCTCAAAGAACCATTCAACCTAAAAGCTTAAGCTGTTAAGTGATGTCCTTGAATAGGTTATATTCTCTAACATGCACCCTCACACGAAAGCCCATTGTCTTGAAGCATGGACAGCACAGGCCCACCCATACCTTGTGCTGAAACTTAATTAATTATAATGGGGGTGACGAGAATCAAACACTAGACCACTTGGTCAAAGTGGCTCTGATATCATCTCAAAGAACTATTCAACCTAAAAGCTTAAGCTGTTAAGTGAGGTCCTTGAATAGGTTTTATTCTCTAACGCTAACAAAATCTACAGCTGATATGATGACTTCAGCTGCAGAAGAGGTTTTATAATCAAAGACCCTCCTGTTCCTTTCCAACCAAACCGCCCATAGAATTGCTAAGGGAATGGCAGACCAGCAAGTTTTCCCTTTCTTAGTCAACCCTTGGATCTGCCAAGCCTCCAGGCAGGCTTTAACTTAGGCTGGCATGCACCAGCTAACCTTCAGACTTCTTAAGAAATGGCTCCAAATCTCTGAGGCAAAACTGCAGTGTAAAAACAGGTGGTTTGCTGATTCTGTTTCTCCACCAAAGGCTACATCTCAGGTCTCTACAATTAAAACCTTTTTCTTACCAACATATCTTTGGTGAGGCATTTCTCTAATGCTGCCCCCATACAAAAAATTTTACTTTAGAGGGAGCCACGGTACCCCAAATGGCCCGGCTTGGGAAGGGAGTTTCAGCATCTCCCTTTATGGCATTGAAGAAAGATTTAACTGAGAACTCCCCACTTTTGTTCCCTTTCCATACTAGAGCATCTTCAAATTGCAAATTCAAAACCTGGGACTGAAGCAAAACCAAGAGATTCCCTACCTGTTGAATCTCCCATTCATTGAAGTTCCTTCTGAAGGTAGGGGCCCAGCAAACAACATTACCCTTAACACAAATGCGTCTGCAACCACTGCTTCTTTGTCTTCAGCCACATTGAACAGGGTAGGAAATAAATCCCTAAGGGAGTTTTCCCCTGTCCAGGCATCCAACCAGAACTTGATCCTTTTACCAACTTTAAATCTGACTTCTCTTCTGAACAGGTTGGAAACTTTGCTTATACCTTTCCAAAGACTGCAGCCATAGGTTGGCATGGGTGGACCACTACCTCAATCCCTTTCATCAGCCCATATTTTTCTGCTATGACTGTCCTCCAAGGTTGTCAGGCTTAGTGGCAAACCTCCAAAGCCAACTTCCTAGCAGAGATAGATTAAAAGATTTAAACCTCCTTAACCCCAACCCCCCTTGAGATAATGGTTTACAAATCTAACCCCAACCCCCCAACCCCCCTCTTGATGAGTGCTACTTTCCCTCCTTTGGAGAGATACCTTGCTTTCCAAGTGGCCAACTTCTGATCCATTCTTTCTATTATTGGGTTCCGAATGGTTTTTGAATTGCATTTGGCAGCCAGGGGTAACCCTAAATACTTTGATGGTAGCTTACCAACCTTGCAGCCTAACAAGTCTGCCATACCTTGAATGTTAGCTGCATCCCCCACAGCTATTAACTCACTTTTAGCAAGGTTCACCTTCAGACCTGAAATAATCTCAAACCAGTACAGAATGTACTTTCAAATTTAGAACTTGCTCTTCTGAATCCTTACAAAAGAAGAGAGTGTCATCAGCATACTGTAAGATTGGGATAGAAGTCCCATTGGGCTTCACCTGAAAGCCTTCCAGCAGCTCTCCCTCCACAGCTCTATCAACCAACTTACTCAAACCTTCCATTACTATTAAAAAGAGCAGAGGAGACAACGGGTCTCCTTGCCTCAAACCTCTAGCACTGCTAAAATTTCCTTAAGCTGTCCCATTTACTAGCACTGAGAATCTAGGAGTTGAGTAGCAAACCTTCATCCAATTTCTCCACTTGGAGCCAAACTGCATTCTTCTCATCAAATAATCCACGAAGGACCAATTAACATGATCATAGGCCTTCTCTATGTCAATTTTTCAGATTAGATCACTCTCCCCAGTTCTTAGTCTGGAGTCTAGAAGCTCATTTTCTATGAGCACTACATCCTTCTACAAGATGAGTTTATTGCTTTAGTCTCACTCTTGATGGACTTATTTAATTTTGATTTTCAACAGGTGAAAAGGTAGATGAAGCAAAAAATGCAGGAGCTGATTTAGTTGGTGGAGAAGATTTGATAGAACAGATAAAAGGTGGATTCATGGAGTTCGATAAATTGATTGCTTCTCCAGATATGATGCCCAAGGTTTTATTCTGCTCATTTTGATCTAAATTATATAGCATGCAATTTCATGTTCACCAATTCTCAAATTTCAAAAACAAAGTTTTCTCAGTTTTCCTTATCAATGAAATACTTACAAACTAAAAGTGAAAGCATATTTGCAGTGAGGGTTGTGAGTTGAAGTTTTCTCTATCATAAAATGAAAACATGGGAAGGGCTTCAATACATGGACCTCTTGGTATTGAGCTTTCCATGCCTTAAAAACATTAAACATGTGGGCCCTACTATTACAAAAATAGAGAAGAAGCGGATTCAGTGGTTGATACAAGTTTGAGGCAGAACCAAGAAGATTTGGATTGGGTGGTGAAAAGAATTTCAAAAATGTGGAAGATATGGTTCCACATAGATTTGAATCTTAGAAACAGGACTCATCTTGCAGAGGGCAAATAGTTGGAAAAGGAATTGATGCTGTTAACGGTTATGATGAATTGGACTATGCCTTGCATGTGATATTTGACTCTAGTGTCAAACATGCCCTACTTCTGGAAGTCTCCAGGGGGCTGTTCAAGTTGACTGTCCAACTTTTTTTTCTTTCTATCTTTTTTTGTAGGGAGGGGGAGAGTACCTAAAATATTTGTATTTTAGTCTTCAAGTACAACTGCATCTTCTTTTTCCTTCTAATTTGGGGGCAGGGGGTTATAACATTAGTCAACTATATCATTACAATAGTCATATATTATATAATGTTTGGTTGGTGTAATGGCGAAATATTGGGCTGATAAGCATGAGAGAGTGAGTTAAAATCTGAGAGTAGTTACTTTAAAAAAAAAATGCCAAAGGTTAGGTCTGTATCCAATCCACCCCTCCCAAGTCCCAGATTGCTTGCTCTTAATTTTATGCAAGTTTTATTATATTGCATTATTACTATCAAAATTTATCAAATGTTTTTCCAATTTATTTTTCTTATGGTGATTATCTTAATGGTTAATGTGATTTTGATGTTATATATTCTAATATTTCTGAAGATATTTTTATAGAAAAAATGACATAAATTCAAGCAACATGTTTTGCAGTATATTCCATAGATGAGAACACATGTTGGCCTCCATCCATTTCAAAATCAGTATATTCCATACATCAATCATGATATTTTGTGTGGTATTTGAGTTCTGTGGCTTGGCATTGTACTAACATGTTAACTTGACTCTGGTTGATTGTTATTCCTTTCAGGTTGCCAGTCTAGGAAAGATTTTGGGACCACGAGGTCTCATGCCAAATCCAAAAGCTGGTACTGTCGCAACTGATATACCCCAGGTATGGTCAAAATATTCCCATAACAGTTTTCTACTAGTGGTTCCACTGACATTCCTGATTAAAGGATTATAGTCTAGTGAGCTCCTATATATTCTTTATGAGGAACTATGATTTATCACTGGCTTTTTCTTCATCTGCTCTATGCCACTTTGGTAATGGTCAGTGGAATTTGGTCATCTTCACTTAAGATGAATTTTTGGGTAAAGAATATTATGAGAGAATTGAGGATCCAAATGGAGAGATAAAAGATGAAGACAAATATAAGTTATATTTACCTGATCATGTTGTCAGATTTGTCACAATTGAGTATAATCAAGATCTATTATATTCCATGGAAGAAAACCAACAGATTTCACCTTAATTAAATTCCACATTGAAGACTAAATTAATTCAACATATTTGAGACAAATCAACTGACATCATGATGGACTGGATCTGGTAATATTTAATGTGTCAGATTAAAACTTGTTTGATCACTTGGTGTTATGCAACTAGATGCTAGAAAATGGAGAGAAAGAAAGCAATATCTAGGTTCTTTTGTCTGGTTCCAGAGATCCATTCAAATTGAGACACTAGGTAGACTGTTATGAATTCTATAGCAATGAAAAGAAGGGTTGAGTTGAAACTGTTGACAACGAACATAATGATCTCTGAGAATTGAAATCTCTTGAGAATAATTGGCAGTATCTTTTCTTTTTCTATTCTTGGCTGCATCAAGATTGGGATAAATGGAAATGTTTGGCCAAATTTTTTCAGGCTATTGGAGAATTCAAGAAAGGGAAAGTTGAATACAGGGCAGATAAAACTGGGATTGTTCACATACCTTTTGGGAAGGCAAACTTTTCTGAAGAAGATCTTCTTGTAAACCTGATAGCAGCAGTAGTATGTTCTTCCCTTCTCTAGCCTTAAACATAATTTAAAATGCATGCTCCACATGAAATTTGCGTTTATTTACCATTGGTTTTTTATGCCCCCATAGAAATCAATAGAAGCAAACAAGCCATCAGGTGCAAAAGGAGTATACTGGAAAAGTGCACATATATGCTCATCAATGGGCCCGTCCATTCGGTTGAATATAAGGGAGATGCTTGACTACAAGCTTCCATCTAATGTCTAAAAGAGTTCATCTGTTCCTGTAAAGTTTGTTTTCTCGTGTTTTATTTAATCGTCTTTGTTGATACTGGCTTTGAAGTTTGCTGATGATTCAGAAAACAAGATAAGGCAAGGACAAGGATGAAGAACAAGAGGGAGACCTTGACAGGTATTTTCTGGTCCAAATTTTGCTGCAGTGGGCCTGCATGCTCTCTCCTTTTACACTGCTTAAGCAAGATCTTGTATAACGACAATAATCAATGTTATCATCATTTTGTTCCATTAGGATCTTCCAAGGTGGATAACTATTAATGCCATTTTCTAACTCCTTGGTGCTCAAACTTTGTGATATCAATCAAAGATGCATATACTGAAGTTTCTCTTACCATTTTGACTTTGGCTCAGCCCTCTCTAACAAACAGCGGGGACCATAGAAAAGAATGTTTTCATTAAACCTTGGAGGTTTAATAGACTAAGCTTAGATGATTACTTTTGTACCATTTGGAATTAGAAGGCCACAGTTTGTTACCTCTTTCACCTCTAAAACCTTTATCCTTCTTGTTCGTTTGTTTTTCACCTCTAAAACCTTGTCTGTAACATCCAATACATTACTTTTGCAGATACTCACATTAAATAAAGTAATAAACCCTCCAAAGCTTGTTCTTGGTGATTCCTCTGTGGGGTCATCGAGTGCCTAGCTAGGACCCAATTGAGTGGGTCCCCACCTAAGAGATTGCCTTATTTGAGAACCGATGGTCCTTATGGTGGACTTCCCTCAAAAACTGTTGGCATGGTGTAAAACCCATAATGCCAGGTGAGCTCTTGCGTTAGGGTCCAACCTCCGACTGGAATAAACGCCAAAAACAAGATGGATGTCTGGTAGCGTGGTGTTGCGTCTCCGATGTGATTCTGTTTGAATCACACATGAACGTCACCGACAATTATGCTTTATCAAATCATAATCCTGATTGATAAAGCGCAAGGGGCATATACAACACCACCATATCAAACATTGCCAAGTAAGGTCATGCTTGGGTGGCTGGGTGTCGTATGGATCTTATTCCGATTATGAAATGCCCTCTCAAAGGAGGGGCCTTATCAGGAGACAGAATCCTGCCAACATGAGTGCAAGTGCAAGTGATGAGTGTTCGACCCCAATTATTGTTCAACGATTTTTGTCGTACCTCGAACCCGAAGTTTAGACGCTACGCCTCTTGATATTTGGAATATAATTTGAAGTAATAAAACTATCATCAGATCGATTGGAATTTCCAATCAAGGGATGTTTGCAAGGTGGCAACCAGTTGGTTGGTAAGGTCTCTTACTGGTTGTAGTGGAGACTTGCGATCAAATCCTGCCTGCACTTGGATTGGGGGATGGGTTACCTCTGTTGTGTAGCCTGTTAAATGATATAAAAAAAAAAAAACAAAAAGGATCAAATTGGATTGGATCTTATCCATCGATATACGGATTCAAATTAAATTCAGCTTACAGTAAAAAATTAAATAGTATAAATAAATCAAAGTAAAAAATAAATATTATATTAAATGAACTAAAAATGATTTGATGTAATATTTAAAAAAAAATCTATGATGCTAGAATGAAGATACTGTAAAGACTTTGACCAATCAAAATCCTCATGAATTTTGATGAAAACCCCCTAATATTTTTAAGAAAAATCTATTGAATGTAAGTTTCTCCAGTATCATGACTTCCTTGCTACTCTGGATCTGCTTCCACTATTTGTTTCCACATCTATACCCATGGAACACTGCCACTGTGTATTGGAAACATCCCCCTATGAATGAGAAGGGAGATATTTCCAAGTGCAGCTGTTATGTCATGTGGGAACAACTAGTGGGTAGCATATCTAAGCCCATCATAATTGAACCCTATATGTTAATGAACAAAATGAATTGATAATTACTTGTATGAAAACTTGTACATATGACAATTTAGTAAAAACTAAAAACACAACATTGAAAGTTTAAAATCAAATCAATTCTACTGATAGTATATATGACTATATGAGCATATATATTTAAATCAAATTATATCTGATTGGATAGGGGCGTATCCACATTTTATCCAATTATAAATGGATAACTCAGATCACCCTTAATAGGGTCGAATTTAAATATAAAATTCGGGCAATTGGATACCACTTACACAAATAAAATAATTTTTAAAAATTAATGAAATAATTAAAAATTATTATTTAATAAAAATAATTAATATTAGTAATTTTTAATAAAAAATAATTATTAAATATTAATAATTAATAAAAATAAAAAATAAAAAATAATTAATGTTTAATAATTAATAATTAATAAAAATAATTTATAATTAATAATAATATTATTATTTCTACTCACCGAACCACCATTGCAAGTTACAGCGGCGGTGGCGGTGGCGAGAAGAGAGAGAGAGAGAGAGAGAGAGAGGCAGAACCGCTGCAATGCTGCAGTGGCAAAAATACAAGAGAGAGAGAGAGAGTGCAGCGGCAGTGGAGCTTTGTAAGTCGCAATGAAGGTTTGATTCAAGTTAAATGAAGATCAAAAACATGTAATATTAAATTTTTTTTAAGGGCATTTATATCTATCATGCACCTCTCAATTACATCTCAACACACAAGTGCTAGGCTATTAACTTAAAATTTTAGATCTGAAAAAAAATTTCAGATCGATTTTCAGACGTAATACCAAATGAGTCTGGTGTCTGAAAAGCAAATTTTTCAGACACCAGACCTCTGAAAAGTGTTATCAAACGAGGCCCTAAACTGGCCTAATCTTAAACCGGATCAAGTTGAAATTGGTCGAATTTTGTATTCAGGTTGGGTGGCCTTTATTCATGCCTTTTATATTTGGGGGATCTGGTAACATTTTAAATGCTCAAGGAGTGGTGGGTATTGGCCACTTGAGTCTGGATCGGTTTTTCTCACTATGGAGTATGGATGTCGAGTTGTCGATCCAATTGCATGAAGAATAGCCGAAGGTCCATCTCCAGCATGGAGCCGGTTGTCTTGGGCCGTTAGACTGCCAGCGCTCCTCATGACTATGGAGCCCACTTGGACAGTGGATCCTGAGGCACATTATACCATCGAATCAATGGAGGAATTATGTAGAAAGCACGAAATAGCAAGCCATAATTCAGATTACAGACCGTTTCTAATCCCTCTAGAATATCAATTCTCAACCATGGATACCCATTTTCAATAGTTTCAACAGTGCAAACAGGATCTTGTCCTTTCCTCGTTAGACTTGTAATTTTGATCTGAACAAAGAAATAACTGCATCCCCTTTCTATAAATTTCTAAGTTGCACATTCACCTTTTCATCAACATGTCTCAATACTCAATTAAGCTTATGTACTCAGACAAGCCAATTCCATAATCACATCTGTGTATACACGGAATGTTGAAACACTCACGTGCATGTGAACACCAATTCCACACGAGTGCAATACTTTTCACTTAATAAACTACCTTTCAATCAGTATTTTCTTCAGTTCTGTAGCAACCATGCAATGTTCAAGTTGCAAGTTCTAGATGAAAACATCATTATTCTGGATCAAAATCAGGGTATTTTGAATGCTGCACTTCAAACAAAAAACAAAAAGAGGAATCTTGAATGTGGAGATGATCAAAACTGAAATGGCCTATCAAGTTTGCATTTCCATCAGTGAAACAATTCTTGCATCTTAAATAAACTAGAGTAAACCTTATCAACTGTAAGGTTCATAAACAATTACAATGTTACTACAATTTCAAAGAACAGGGAATCTAGCTTCCAAGCATTGTAGAAAGATTTGTGACTAAGATGATTCATATTGGTATTGATCTTTGTGCTTAATTGACAGTCTTCTGGTACAGTTTCCCTAAGCATGGTGTGTCATAAAGGACAAAAAAACCAATCAGAAACAACCATTAAAATAAACAAAAAGCTACTTATGATGATGATGAAGCGCCGGTTACCACAAACATCACTTTAGGTTCCATTCTCATCCTCTGAAAGCAGAAAATCTTTTATTTGTTCCCTGCAAGTGCAAATAAAGTTGAAATTACTAGTGCTTTCTCCTGTGTTGGATGGGACTAGATAACTCATTAGTCATAAAGCAAAAAACAGAAAGGAATTGAAGAGCACAATAGACTGACAATGCTACACCTGACCTTAGCAAGTCCTGGTCCCTAGAGATATGATACTTTGCACGATCAATCATTGGTTGGGGAAGAAGTGAGTAAAAATGCTCCTTGGATGATGATTTCTTTGGTAGTATCTGAAACTGGCAACTAGAACAGCAGCTTATACCCAAAATATCAGCACTGGTTTCGCAGTGTCTTAAATTGCTTTTCAACCTCTCTGAATCCACTTTATTCAGTGGGCTATTGCAGATTGGACAGAAAAGCTCTGAGGGAATAGATTCATTAGATTTAGGGTTAAACTTCTTATGGCGCCTTCGGGAGGACACATGATTGTTGGGATCATCAGTTTCTGGTAGCCTATTGAAATGAAATGGAGTAAGCTTTTCTGCTGTTCTTACTATAGTGCGCTCTCGTGAAGGATTTTCTTTCTGCAATATAATAGCATCTTTAGAGAATTTGATGGAATAGTTGTTACAGGAAGGGAATGCAAGCCCCCCTACTAGAAGACAAATTAAACAAAAATCACTCATTTACCTGCAAGAGAGTTACAAATGATGACACCAAAACATTGATGCCAGAACCAGAACCATCAAGCTGCTTAACAATCTTCAAACTGCCCTGCCAGAAGTAGATCTAGCCCATGATTCAGACATAGCTGGGTGGAAAAGCCATAGCATAGAAAGCATCTAAGACAAACCTGTCATGACTACAGATCATGTTAAGCTCCTGTATAAGACAGTCCCGAAGAGGAAGAACCACTGGGATCTCCCACCTTGCATCAACATACTGTATATCTGCTGGTAAAGAGTAACCCTGGCCCTGTTGAAACCAGAGAAATTAATAAGACCTCTAGGCCAGTTGATGCAAAACACCTACCTCCCTTATGCCAACTTCCAAGGCTCATATCCAACAGCCAAGTCACTAGGATGGATATCTTGGCTAATGATCTGGGAGTCAGTTTCTCCAAGGAAAGACCAGGCATTTGATTGAAACCAGGCAACAAAGAATTTTTATCCAATAAAGGAACATTAAAAAAATTTCTTTTTGGTCCTTGGAGCTTTAATTCAGTGTTTTAAAAGATTTTAGACACCCTTTCCTAATTATACTGCAACTTTTATGGTTGGTAAAATACATGTAATACCACTGATATCTGGATAAACATAAGCTAACAGTGCATGAATAATGACGTGTTTTCACCTTAGCAGGCTTAGCTGCTCAGCTCATTTGTATATATAAAATAGAATAGGTACTAATATATATAACCCGATGTGGTCATTTGTCTATCCCAATTTATCTTATGCTATTTTATGTAGAAACCCACATTCTAAGGGCCAACATTCCCAGGAACAATGAAAATAAACAAAGCATTCCCTGAGAAACCTACTAATTCTCATCACCTACAGCTGCTGTTGGATATCACAGATTTCTCCCCATTGCACTTATAGACACAGGATACTTAAAACGGATTCATCATTAATCATCCTTCGCACCAGAGTGATAATAAAATGTCCAAATAAGTTCATCAGTTGAAAATCCTAAAGTGACTCCATTCAAATAATTTTATGCCTAAAATAGAATCACATTCTTTTGATGCACAGTTGACAATCCGTGAAGCATCTTTTCAAATAGAAAGGTTTGTAAACCAAGTGAAATCAGTTAATTTCATTTTGTCTTACATAGAAAGGTTTAAACATATTGAAGGCAATGAGTTACACGGAATGCGTTTCTTCCTTTTTTTGTTATTTTCTTTTATAAATCAATAATGGGAATTTACAAAAGAAAAGAAAGGGAGAAAACATAGGAGCCAAATAAACAGACAAAACAGACCTGAGAGGAGCCTGATGAAAGCCAACCACTCCTGTGGTGGCTGAAGAAGAAAACAAAGAACACAATCTTTTTTTTTTTTTTTTTTTCCTTTTTGAAAAGGAAAGAACACAAAAATTTAGATCAGAAAAATTATTTCATTTTACAAATTAATTTCTTCTGCACATTGGTTAAATGGATTAATGAAATAGCATAAGGTAATGCAACCATTTCCACTTGGTCAATTGCAGTTTTCCTGCAAATAGAGTTTTTAATAACAGTTTTATAATAATCAAATGAAGGAGCTTGATACTTCCAAGTCAAGGAAAATTTATGAACTATATATAAATTGATAGCGAACCTTTACAGTTGCTGAAATGACATGGCAAGCAATTCTTGATGCACATGATCCTAAAACCAATTTGTTGTAGCCATTGTCAAGAGCAATCTGTCAAGAAGATAAAAAGAAAAGGTTCCATGAAAAAACAGGCTCCTATTCATTATCCTAAATATGCAAATGATCTAAGAAGTAAACTGAACCTTTTGTAAGGACATCATATGCAAATGGTGCACAAGATCTTCTTTCCCAGTGTCATCATCAATGGCATGCAACAATTCCTTCAGCCTACTTGTTTCACCCTTGGAATCCAAAGAATAGATATTCTCAATGGGTACAATATGCAGTTTTTTTTCTGGTGGAGCTAAGCTTGACACAATCAATCTGATATCTTGAATTGCTTTTTCATATTCATGGGAAGGAATAGAAGAAATAACAGTTTCATCAATAAAAGCAACTCCAACACCAAATACTGGCAAAGATCTATCTCTGCTGGCATCAAAATTCCTCTGTGCTTTCTGTTGCATCTCATGTACAAATTGTAGAACCACCCTAAAATGGAAATTCTTTTCTTTTAGGGAATAAATTCAATGTAAAAAAGAACTAATAAAAAAATTCAATGTAAGAAAGGTCATTTACAGAATCAGAAACATGTATTCCCCTAATTAGATGAATTATTTTCCTCTCAAGCCAATAGAAGAATTACCCCTTGACACGGGAGAAAGATTAGGGATAGAAAATAATACTCATAATCCTAACAGAAGGAATAGTACAATCATAGGAGATGTTGAAGAAATTATCCCAGAATGTACAATAATAAGAATTCAAGTGTTGCGATAAGCAACAAATTGCAATAATATTTTCCTCATATCCTGAAAATTGTAAATCAGAACATGGTGATTTTGGATTCTTTTCCTGGTAATAGACACTAGGAATGAGAAGTAATACATCTAATGAATGGGAGGCTATAGTATTCAGATATTAAAGATCTTGGAATGATGTAATCTTTATTTAACCCCACTCAGATGAGACTCTTCTGTATGCAAAGGAGATCACAAGGGAGTTTGTCAACCTTATCATTATACCATTGGCAGCATGAGAAGTGTGATGGAAAATGATGGAGAGTGTTGGATCTTTGGTGGAGAAAGTGGTCAACCACTGACCTTGCAATGTAGTGCCCAAAGCAACTGTTACTTTCAATGGAAGGAGTTGGAAGAAGATCCACAGCCCCTCTAAATCTCCCTTAAGGTGTAGCACCATTAGAAACTTGTTGATCAACTCAAAGGGAAAGGAGTCATGTGCCACCTATCCCAAAATGGTGGATACTTCCTCCTCCCCTAGGCCCTCCTAACATGGTGGAAACCCTTCCTAGAAGTCGGTCCAGCACTAACTAAGGGCAACCATGAGACCTTGTCTTTAGCATTTCAAATCTTGCTAATTTAGGTTGTTGTTCTATCTGCTTTGATGGTAGGAGGTTTGGGCGAGGGTGAGAGGTTGTGAGATTACCTTTAAAAAGAATAATTAAAAAGGACCCCGAAAAAGGCTATTCTACTTCCAACAAGAGGTGATTTGTTGTAATCTAGCAAGGAGGTACCACTGTACCAGAATTGGAGAAGGTAGGAAAATCCTTTTTCAATAAGAATGGAGATGGGAAAATGGAGTTTTTTCTTCAGAACTTCGGGAAAATGGGATCAGTTAAGAAGCAGAACAGGAACCTATGGCTGCATGGGCTTAGTACGCTGGTCGCTGGTAGGATGGTGAAAACTGTAGTGGCTTAGGGGAAGGTAGTATAATTGAAGATGTTGAGTGCGATGCAGCAATTATGTCCAAAAGCAGGAGATACTTTTCAACATGTGCATGCTGACCATGCCATAGAACCAGTGCTCTTATTCTTTGAGATTGTTTTGAGAAAATTTAACCAAAATTCATTAAGTAAAGAGGAGGTACATGAGAAGATGTACAAAGCAGGGGAAGAACCCCTACAAATTACAAAGGAGGAATCTTGTCGCTATACAAATGCTCCAAGTACACGCCACAATTGGCTAAGCCATCTGCAGTATGATTGTGTTCCCTAGGAACCCAAACTAAATTAACATTTAAACAGTGCAAAGAATCCCTAGCCTCTGTCAGATAGTGATTCAATCTCCAAGGACCCCCCTCTTTGTTTCTTAACCATTTTACGGACAATCAATTATAGAAACACTGAATGTATGGATTTGTTCCTCTTCCCTTACACTTATAGGTGTCCCTGTAATTCGTAATTTTTTATCATTAACAATCAGAAATGTTTTTATGAAAAATTTAAAGATAGTACATAAGTATAAAATACCACATTCAGAGCCACTAGCTTCTCCCCTAAAACTTTAAATTAAATAATACTGCCTAACCTTGATTGGCAGGCCCCACATATAGTTTGGTCCTATTTACCCCTTCCCTTGCATATGTATTGGCCAGGGCATTTTCTGCCCTTGTAAACCACTTCATGAGATATACAGGTTAGTGGAGAAGAATTTAGCTTACCTTAAAACATGTCTGAACTCCAAGTAACCACTTTATTTACATTCATCCACCCCTATGATAACCAGATACAAATACTGACACAGACATGGATATGGGAAAAGGGGATGTAACTCTAAATTTCCTAAAATCCCAGACATGGATAAGGATGCAGGTATCCATAGTATGCTTATACCATACTTCCATATCTAGTTTTTGAGGCTAATTGTTGTCACTTCTCAAGACTTGTGTCTTGTTAAATTTAATTGAATTTCCAATAAATCATAAATGCAGATTTTTGAAGTATAACATGTTAAGACATACCATTTTATACACGTCTAAAGTATTAATGTATTGAGAATCTATAGAAGTGTCCATGCAGTATTAGGTGTTGTATCAGGTACATATTGTGCCTGATACTGATATACTAGGCATGTACAGGCATCTGGGTGTCACAGATCCACCAAGTCACCACCTTCAAGTCAACTCTTACCACCAAATCTGATATGCTTGGAGATTAACAGATCCTAAGACATTGAACTGAGAAAATCTTTTCCCTAATTGAGTTGCCAACACCAATGGGTCCGGAAAAATAAGGACAATCCCCATCTAATGATTTCCCCTCTACCTGAGTTCCCTGGATTGCCAAGACAGCAGGCATAAAAATTTAATTTGAGGAAATTTGGAGGTGGCTGTAATTCATTATATACTTATTTGAGAATATGTACAAATGGAGAAACACAATAGAAATAAAAATAGTCCCAGATAAGGATGCAACTTGGGTCGGGTTGGGTTGGGAGTTTGTTTAATTTTCAATGGGGCTGAACCCTAACCTGAGCCTGATATAGTTGAAATTCTTTAAGCCCGGCAACCCGATTTGTAGCCCTCATCCCAGGTCAGCCAACAGACCAACTCCACTACACCTACGTATATTATTTCTTTATCCCGCCACTACTGCCCAAAAATAGAAGGTCCACTAGACGTTGCTTCCCTATTAACCCCTTCCCTAGCCAGAACATCCACCACTAAATCAGCAGATCATGGAACTCATTAGAAAGAGTAGTTCAACCTAAGAAGCTTAGAATCTCACCTCTGTAATGTGATGTTTTAGGATCCAAGGTCCAGGCTCATCCCTCCCTCATTCATCTTATATAATTTTTATGCCATTGAGACCAAAGAAACTGCAGAGTCTAACTAAGATACAGGTGATATCACCAGAACGTTGTGAATTCCCTAAAGCAAGATGGTAGCTTTACAGGATATTGGTGTGCAAAAAGCATCCCGAATGCATGTGATCAACAATCTTGCATTGCTTGACTGCAGACCAAGACAGACCAAGCTCATCAGGCTTGACATCCATAGCCATCCCGGCTATTAGTTCATCTTCTATCCAACCTAAATCTATATGCGATGCCATCCTCAATCTCTCCCTCGATTAAAGTCCAAATTCTTTCTGATAATTAAAGTTTTTTCAATAATTAAGCCAGAAGCAAAAGCGAAAGAAACTGGGAGATCAAAATATAGATAAAGGTATTCTTCAAAAGGAACACTTGCCACAATCAACACACAACAGAAAGACAAAAAAAGAAAAGAAAGAGGAAGTGGAACCTAGAGGAAGGACCACCGGAAAAGGCAACGAGGATATTGTCGAAAGGGTTAATCATGTCATGGGAAGTGACGGAGAACTTGAACTTGCCGAAGAGAGAAGAGCGGAAACAGCCAAGGCAAAGGTGGGCTTCATCCCCAGTGATAGCTTCATCCACCTTGCACTTGAAGCAGAGATTCCGATGGTCAGAATCTTCCTTAACTGGAAGCGAAGCAGAACCATTAGCAGTTGTAGTAGTTGCAGACTCGCTCCTCCTTTCAAACTCCATCGCCTCGTCGTCATCCTCCTTGTAGCAACCAGATTGGCATACTCCTGTAGTACACGCCATACTCCTCTTTTTGCTTCTTCTCCCACTCACGTCTCTCTTTTTGGGTTACCAACTTCGTATCGACTATCGAGTGTCGAAGCCCTCTCTCTTCCCAGTCCGGAATCCGGATCGGTTGCGTTTGGACCAGTGTTTTAAAAGCCGTCTCGGTGGCTAAAACGTTTTCCCTCGGGTCGCGGGTATATATAATAACGAAAATTGAAGATTAGTATCCAATAATATGGCCAGTTGTTAAACTTTTAAAATGTGCTAATTTAATACCTACCGTTAATCATTTATCAGTTATGTGTATCAAATAACATTATTATAATTTAAAATTTTTAAAAATATCAAAATTATAATTTAAATAGGATACCCAAATTCAATCAATTATAATATATAAATTCAATTTGATTATATCCAATAAAAAATTTAAAATCGGAATTTCGAATACAGTTAACAACCCTAAGGTATCCATGGGCCTACAAATACAATTAAAAACATTACACACCCAAGACCCAACAACAAAACACTATAAAGACCAAAATAAAATTAGGGGTAAAACATGCCATTGAATTGATGTTTTAGAGCTTGGGTCTCTCAAGGTTTTTCCTGGACTTCAATCATATGATAGAGAGAGAGAGATCAAGGTGATTTTAGGCCTCTTACACCTTTAGAATACTTGGCATTTATTTGATTACATTCAATACATTTTTTCCAACTTTTGTTGTTACGTTAATACAAAATATTATAGGTTTCCTATTTGCATAGGCTAACGGCCACAAGTTTTTGTTAGTTTAATCAACAGTTTCTATTTTCTTTGGCACCAACACATGGAAAAGAACAGCAAAACAAGAAAGGTTCTCGTCCGTGAACCGTCTGTTCTGTTGTAGAAAAGAAAAGCGAAACCGACACCTTGGATGGATTAATTTTTGAGTTCACGTTTCCTCTGCACAAGGGGCTGCCCCACAATGTCCCACAGCACATCCCCGTGTGTATTGGTCACATCTCCCAATGATGACATCATCAAGTCTGGTACTATCATCAGGAGAATGTTTCCAATACACGGCGGGATGTGCTGTGGGTCATTGAGGAGCGGCCCCTTGTGGGGAGGAGATGTGATCTCTTTTTCAATAGGCTATATTTGTTTTATGAGCAAGGGATGGAAAACAAAGTCGTAGGATTGCAGCAGTAAAACATAAATATAGTCGAGATTTTACAATATAATCACTTTTACTATATTTTGACGGTGAAATAGAGCCTTGGGATATTACAATCCAGCTGAAAAATGGTCTTCAGTCCTGGCTTTGACACTTGGAAACAAATCCCAACTAGACGGGGACCTGGACCTGGGGAGGCCAAGGCATTTAAATACAAACGATGCAGGGGAATTTTCTTAAGCGGCAGTCAATGATACAAAGCAAGTTGAATGTAACAGAGCTATTTCATTTAAGCCAGGGAAAACAAGTGCTTGAATTAAGTTAGTAGGGCACAAATCAGGATTAGTGAATTGCACGGTTTGCACCCTATACAGTATACTTGAAAAATAAACCTAATGTTCCAACCAATTTAAATCAAAGAAAAAAAAATACCGAAACTGAACTTATTTACAAAAAAAAAGGAGAAAAAAACTACCATTCTTGTCACAGGGTACATAAACTTCCCACCACGTTAGTTTCAGCTAATTGGGCTTTGGTGGTTCTCATTAGCACTTCTTTCACCCTCTGAAACTCCAACATTAACACTCACCAACCAAGCCCATGATTGTTCTCCAACATCCTCCATTACTCCAGGCTGAATTGGAAATAGACAAACATTTCAAAATAGGCATGAAGTAACAAATAAATAATTAATAAATCTTGCTTCACTAGCATTGTTACCTTGGGAAGGCTCTTCAATCCAAGGTCCATTCATAATATTCAGAATACTACATGATTCACCATATTCCAGGTCTGGCAGCAGCTTTGGGGTAAGTAAAAAGCATCTGATATGGTGACAAGCCAAATGTCAAATGCTGGAGGAATATAAATAGGAAGTGACGCAGGCCTATTCAGTGTTGCCCATAGATTCAAGGATTCAAGGACAGTTGGTCTTTATTGTCCTACTAGCAAGTAAACCCATGCAATAATACATGGGGTTCAATAGAAATTTGGTTAGGTTTAGGTTGGCAAATTTGGGTTTTGACATTACTCAAAAAAAAAAAGCTATTTAGAAATCAGTTCGGGTCCAAGCCAGGGTCCATGTCTAGGGCTAGTCTTGCCATGGCTCTTAACCTGACCCTTCTAATTTATACCCTTACTTAAGGGAGTCAAAAGTAGTCAAGAGAGACTTACGAGGAAGGAAGGGCAGAATTAATAGGGAAGGGGAGGGCCGGAGGGGATATTTAATAGGGGTAGAAAGAAGGGCAGATTTAATAGGAGAGAGAGTTGTGAGAATGTTCTTATTAAGAGTAAGGTTGGATTTAATTAGAGAAAATTAAGACCTAAGAGTGTTTTATTGCAACTTCTTATATTTTTTAATAATTTAATTTAGAAATATATAATCACAATGAGAGATGGGAGGAGAAAGAGGTCAATGTGAGCTTATGGTGAGAGAACCCTTCACTTCTCCTCTCTCTTTCTAATATAGATACAAATTAACTTTCCAATTATTATCTTCTTATTTTGGGAGTAAAAGGCCCTTTTCTAGTTAAATGTTACTTTGAGTTGTCACTTGAATGCAGTCTTAAGAGCATTTTTCTGACTACTTCAATTTTGCTGGAAATGCTCTTGGGGTCTTTTTTCATATTTTTCTTTTCTGGAAAAGACACATTATCTGCAGTTCACAAGAGCTATGCAAACCCAACCTCACTATGAAGAAGTTAGGGATCATCTAGGGAAGGTGCTTGCAGTTTTAAGCAAGGACGTGAGCTCTTGTTCTATCAATAGTGCAGAAGCTTGGGTGGCGCTTGAAGCTCATAGGATGGCGATGAGGTTCATAGATAAAGAATTTTATTAAAGGAGATTCGAAGATTGTGGTGATGGTATTAAGGGAGCTGAAGACCCCCTTGGTGCATGAGTGCATCAAGACTATTTTTGAGAATTGCTACAATTTGTGTTTATGTTGCTGTCATCTGTATGTTCTCATGTTTTTACTTTTTAGAGAAGCAAAATTCTGCTGCTGATTGGGTATAGGTTGGCAGTTCAAGTTTATTTTTAATAGTGATGTGTGGGGGAGGGTACCCCCCGTTTTGTGTAGCCTATGCTCCTTTTCCATTTTACTCAAAAAAAGTTAGAGATTTTTTTTTTTTTTTTCCTTTTCTCATAGCTATGTCATGCTTCCTGGATTACCTTCTAGTTCTGTTCTGTTTTCTTCTTTATTTTGAGAATTTCACCATATTTTGGTGCTAATATGGCCCTGCATGTGCTAGGCAGAAACTAGGCAAGCTAGCCTAGTAATTTACAGATCAGACATGATTGACTTTTAGAACTTCGAAAATTGACAAGCAGCAATTTACCAGTGAATGGAATAAGGTAATTGGTTCTTACTGTGGTGTATTTGGTTGGCTGGCTGCCCTGACTAGTTGCTGGAACATTTTCCTTTCATTTATAGGATCCATTCCTGAACCACAGAAAAGAAGGGGGGTGGGAGGATAAACCATCATGTGGTATACAATTTTCAACAAAAATCATGTCAAATATGTATGTATTATATGCTAATTTACCTTGGTTTATCTCATCAACCACACGAAATGGGCAGTTAGTAAGATCTTGTAGTGAAACCAGATAGAGAATGGTAGAAACAGAGCGTTCCTATAAAAAAATGAAACCTCAAATTACAGTATAGGAAAAACAATATCATAACGTAAAATGAAAAACCACAAAGAGTACGGTATACTATGATACCCCCCCAGACTGATGGTGAGCACTCAGCACTTTCAGTTGTCCTGTTTGCCTGACAGTATCAATATAATGGAAGGTGACAACTTCAGAAAGTAAGCATGCTGCCCCAACCAAAATGCCTTACCAACAAAAGAGTGTAGGAACTAGCTCTCAAAATTATATTACCTAAATTTCACTTTTATAAGTATACCATATTTGTCAAAGTCCGTGTCATGTTCATCTGAAATGCACCACCAAAACCAATAAGAAAGGCTATGGAACTTTCAATGAGTATATTTGATCATGGCAGGAAAGTTTCGACAAAATACCCAAAGAAACTTCTCCTGCAACAGCCATTTCTTGAAAGTTGCGACTGAACGTCTGATTTATGTGGCAAACAAGGTTTCTTAGATTTGGAAGCCAGCTTTCCTGCATAAACACTTCAATCAGAACATACTTAAAAAAGTAAAGCAAATAGTTGACTATTTTGGCATATTAACTCAGATCAGAAACAAAAAATACAAATAAAATATGGAGTTAAGAAGGAATGGAATGTTTGAGTGGTCAACTTGCCACACACAGAAATGCTGCGAGTCTATGTCCCTAATCAATAAAATTCCTTTTCTTGACAGAATACTAACTATAACTATGCCTTCCAAAATGACAAGTGATGATATACTTCAAAAACAAGGAAGCTTCAGGCTTGTACACCTCTCTTACCTTCAGAGAATCAATTTCAGCCAAGCACCTCTTTAGTTCCTTGTTATCAGCATCCAATTTCATAGCCATGGCTTCAATCTGTAAGAAAATGTCAGCACCTATAAATCATCATAAGCTCAAATATATAGAAACAGATCCAGTAGCAATTACCTTATGCTGACGGGTTTCATATTCTTCCAAAATATTCTGGTTTAGAAAAAGAATAGAATTGGCTTGAGAAATATTGTCCTGAATAGCAGCTTCCAATTCCTCAATAGTACCAGGCATCTGGTTTGACATGGGATACAAATATTTAGACTATACTATTTAAGGATAAAAAAGTAATGGGGTTCAATTTAAGTAAAATATTTCAAACTTCTAGGACAAAGTAATCATCTGAAACAACAAACTCTCTTGCAATGAGCATAGTTCCAAAAAGAACTATTCATAGAAAAGGGTAAGTTTCAGTGAGTATTAGAAACATGTAAGATGGGGGCATTACTACTATTAGAGGAGAAAATTAAAAGTGTTCTACTCTAGGGATCTGAAGAAAAGCTTCAAAGAACAGAAAATAAGCATACCAAACATGCAAGTAATACTAAATGCAGAAGTTCCAAACTGCTATTGACATCATGGAAGAACATGGAGCCACTGGATAGCTCTAACTTTTGAATTGTGATTCCAGTCATTGGTTTTGAACGGGGAATGAAAGGGACATAAAAACTAGGCCTCTAATCATAAAAGAAAGGTGAACTGAGATCACCCTCCTCATTTATAAGTCTGCAAATTAGGTGCATTTTGATACATGAGCCTTGCTTTAACCTGAGTGATGACAGTTTCAGAAGGTGCTAGCATGGTGCACCGATGTACACACACCTTGGTTGGAGCACAAGGCAACCCAGGAGTTTGCCCAACCATACTTTTTTTTCTTTAGTTACTTCTATATACTGTCATGTGTATTGTGATCTACTACTAAAGAAACTTGTTATTGTTGCTTGTAGCCTGACCTTTACACTAGTTATAGTGTACTGACTTTAAAAGGAATAAAAGCAAAGACATGCCTGAAGTCCTAGCTTAAGTAATGCGACTAAGGGAATGACAAAGTGAACATGTTGAGAACTTGAGAGGACTTGAAAGGCAAGAAGTGATTATACAAATCATAACTAGTTACAGGTATGTATACTTTTCTCTCTCTCTTTCTTTCTTCACTGAAACAGGGATCAGACCTTTCTCCATCTTCTCCACATATTTTCATTCTTTCTTTCTTCTTTTCCTCCTGTTCTGTTTTGTATTGATTTCTTTTTTTCCTCCTTCAAACAGGGGATCCCCCTTCTCTTTTTTCTGATTTGCTGGAAAAAGGATATGCTCTATGCTGTCTGCCACAATCTTCTTTAATCTTTTCCTTTAATTGATTGCGGTTCCTTTCCTTCTTTTTCATAATTATATAACTCTTTTAATAGAACATAGCTGAACTGTTTAAGTTACTAAAACGTTGAACATGTTTGGTAACTTGTCTGTCTTCTATAGATTTGGATTGTTGCTTTTTATAAATGTTGAATTATTGATGTCTTTTATGAAATATGGTCATGGATTATCATATGGAGGTCTATATGCAGATTTTATTTAATTTAGAATCCATATTTACATATTTTTATATCTGAAGTTTTATTTTATTTTATTTTACATTTCAAAAGTTGTTTCACTTTGTTCGGAAACACACCTTGCCTTGTGCCTCATGCCTAAGGAGTTTAGAAGCCCTTGCACTTTTGTTGCCTGTTAAAAGGCTGTTATTCTTTAAGTTTAGTACCGCAGGGGTACTTTGGTATTTTCCACATCTCTCTTCTCTCTTCTCTCATCTATCTTCTCTCTTCCTTTCTTCTTCTCTTCTGGACAACATGGTATCAGAGCGGGACTGTCAGATCTGAAAGGAGATCGAGCAAGCCTCTTTTCTGTCTTCTCCCTTTGCCAGCTACAGTGTGGTTTATTGAAGATCCAGATTTTTTTTCAGCATCGGACTGAAGTACCCTCTCTACCTTCCTCCTTTTTTATGTTTTTTTTTGTGCTTGTGTGCCAGGACAGAACCTGTAATAGGTACAGTTGGTTGATGTGAGGTGATCAGCACCTCCTTTCCTTTTTTGTGGGATTGGCTGATCCCTGTGATAGACTGTAGGTCGGTGATGAGTTGATGACCTTTATATGCTGTGACAGCAGCCATATTTGATTTGTAGGTCAAGAGAGGACCTGTATATGCTGCGACAGCAGCCATACCTGATTTATTATAGGCCTGTGATGACCTGTTAGTGCTGTAACAACACCTTTTTCGTTTGAAGAACTGAGCTTTAAAAAGAAAAGGAGGGGAGTGGTTGTCTCTAGTCTCCTGGTGCAAAGAGTTTTTTTTGGGGGTGTTAGACTGCTCTTTTCTAAGGTTTTTGTTCTCACTTGGAGTGTAACCTGAAACTGTGATTATGAGTGGTGAAGATTCTGCTACATCTGGTGTCTCCTCAATGCAGAATGGAATGAGTGGAGGTATGGATTTATCCTTCCCTATGACTGTCATACCCCTGGATAGCTTAAATTATTTAGAATGGTCGAGGGGGATCAAGCTATACACTACTTCAAGGGGAAAGATAGGGTATATAAATGGGAGAATTAAAGAACCTAATTCCGGGAGTGCCGAGTATGACAGATGGAACCAAGAAAACAGCATGGTTATGTCTTGGCTTTAGTGTTTATACAACCTCAGGTGAGAAGGAACTTTATATGGGCTGAAACAGCTTATGAGATTTGGGAACAGGCAAAATCGACCTATTCTGAACTACGTTACCATGCAAAAATCTATCAATTACAGGTGGAATCATTCACTTGTAAACAGGGGGAGAGGATTCTTTTTGTGTACTATTCAGACTTGACCTCTGTTTGGAAGGAGTTAGATCACTATCAAAGTGTAGACTGGAAGTGTGATGAAGATGCAAAAGCGTACACGAAACTTGTTTCCCAACAAAGAGTGTTTGCATTTCTCCATGGCTTGAACCCTATGTATGAATCCATCAGAGTCCAGATCCTAGGTAGCAAGGATCTTCCATCTTTCTAGGAGGTTTATGCATTAGTACAGTAAGAAGAAAGTAAAAGAAATTTAATAAATAGTTATGGAGGGGATGCAATTGTGTTGGCAGTGAAAGGGAATGCTATTACAGGTGGAGGAAATCCTTTTAAGAAGGGGGACTTTCAAAAAAGGGTGGAAGACAAAGACAAACTATGGTGCACACATTGCCAGAAACCCTGACACACCCGTGAAACATGCTGGGAACTTCATGGGAAGCCAAAATGGGCTCAGGAATTGAGTAAGAAGCAAGGTTCAGATCTGAATAAGAGGTCAATACAGCAAGGTCCAAGAAAGTTCACCATAGAAAACATGGCTACTCAAGAGAATCAGCCCCCTACTACTACTAGTCTACTATGATTCGGACACACACCTCTAGTTTTGACCCAAGGGAGGATATTATTAATTCTTTCCGTGACCATTTAGAACTCTATGGTAGAGCAATTCGTCAGATGGAAGCTTCTCCTCCATTAACTTCATTTGCGTCTACATTAGGTAACTCTGCCACAACTTTCCGTGTATTGTCTCATTCCCCCGACTCTCCTTGGGTAATTGATTATGGAGCGTCAAAACATATGACTGGTAAGTCCACTTCTTTTTAGACCTACCACCTCCTCTCTAAAAGAGACAAGGTGAGACTAGTTGATGGTTCACACTCTACCATAGCTGGTCAAGGAACAATTTCTCTTCCCTTTGGCCTCACCCTGACTAATGTTTTACATGTTCCAAAATTCCCTATTAATTTGTTCTCTGTTAGTAGTATCACTAATTCTTCTTTAAACTGCTCAGTGACCTTTTTTCCCTTCTTATTCTGTGATCCAGGATTTGGCCTTGGGGAAGACGATTGGTAGAGGAGATATGGTGGATGGACTCTACATGCTAGAGAATAAGGTTAGTCTTACAGTCACAGAGTCTAAGAGTCAGTCTGGTACGAGTCAAGTCTGTTTATGGCACAGTCGTCTTGGTCATTTGTCTTTTGAGTCTTTAAAAATGGTGTTTCCAGAGTTATTTAAGTCAGTGTCAGTGTTAAGAGTTTTCATGTCAAACTTTTCAATTGAGTAAGCATTGCAGAACTCATTTTTCTTCAAAGAATAATAAATCCGAATCTCCTTTCCACATTGTTCACTCTAATGTTTGGGGCCTTGTTACTTTACCATCTGAGAGTGACTACAAGTATTTTAATACCTCTATTGATGATTACTCCAGATATACATGGGTATATCCCATGCAAACAAGGGATGAAATACAAAAAAATATCCAAGATTTCCATCGAATGATCTTCATCCAATTTCAAACTAAAATTCAAGTTTTTCAATTTGATAATGCCAAGGAACATTTTCATAATGATCTAACGAAGTTCTTTGCTTCGCGTGGATCACTTCACCATAACTCATGTGCCCGAACACCACAACAAAATAGTGTTGCTGAAAGAAAGAACCGACACCTTCTTGAAGTGGCCCAGGGGTTACTCATTCATATGAATGTCTCGAAACGTTTTTGGCTTGAGGCTGTCCTTTATGCTACCTATCTCATTAATCGTATGCCCTCTCACTAGTTAGAGTGCAAAGCCCCACATCAACTTCTTTTTCCTAAGGCTCCTCTTCTTTATATTCTTCCTTGTGTGTTTGGTTGTCGTTGTTTTGTTCAAAACCTAGCGCCCACCTGTGGAAAATTAGACCCTCATGCTATTCCTTGCATCTTCTTGGGGTACTCTTATCACTTAGAAGGGATACCGGTGCTTTGATCACGTCTCTTGGAGGTATTATGTTTCCATGGATGTCTCTTTCTCTGAGAATGATTATTTCATCCCTCTTTTTCCTTAGGGGCAGTGTATGAATAAGGAAAAACCGGTTCAGCTCCCTCCACTTCCTGGTCCTCCTCCCTTTCGTGTTTTCTTTTGACGTCACAAAGGCCAACCAAGTTCAAGAGCTGTGGAGCATCTAAAAGCTGTACCACCAATGCCATCAAACTCTCTAGGGGTGGATCCTACCCAACTAGGTACCTTGGTTCCCATTCATGTTCCTGACCCTATTGCCATTGATACCTCTATTGCTGATGACCTTGACCTTCCCATTGCTCACCGGAAGGGTGTTAGGTCTTGCACCATTAAACATCCCATTTCCCATTTTGTTTCCTATGAGAACATTTCACCTTCCTTTCGGGCTTTCCTTTCTTCCATTGATAGTGTTTCCATTCCTAAGAATGTGGCATAAGCTCTGTTGGTGCCTGAATGGACAGATGCTATGAAGGAAGTGATTAATGCTTTACATAAAAATGGCACATGGGAATTGGTAGATCTTCCTGACGGAAAGGAACCAGTTGGATGTAAATGGGTTTTCATAGTAAAACATAGGGCTAATGGCACAGTGGAGCTGTATAAAGCTCGTTTAGTGGTAAAAGGGTTTACACAAGTGTATGGAGTGGATTATGAAGAAACTTTTGCACCTGTTGCTAAGATGAACTCCATTAGTCCTTTTCTCTTTAGCTGCTAATCTTGATTGGGACCTCCATTAAGTAGATATTAAGAATGCCTTTCTAAATGGTGGACTTGAAGAGGAAGTGTACATGGTACAACTCCCTAGTTTCCGAGCTCAAAGACATGAACAAAAAGTGTGCAGGTTAAAAAAATCATTATATGGCCTGGTTCAGTAGGTTTCATGTAGTTGTTCAACAAAGAGGATACAAGTAGTGTCAATCTGATCATATATGATTTGTGAAAAGAGGGAAAGGAAAAATTGCAGCCCTAATAGTATATGTTGATGATATAGTTATCACTGGTGATTGGAAAGATGAAATTCAAGAGTTAAAGAGATTTCTTGCTACCCAATTTGAAGTGAAAGATCTAGGTTCTTTAAGGTACTTCCTTGGGATGGAAGTTGCCCGCTCACAAAAGGGTATCTTCATTTCCCAAAGAAAGTATGCCCTAGATCTACTCCAACATACAAGAAAATTGGAAGTGAAGCCTAATGATTCTCCTATTGATCCTAGTCACAAATTAGGTGACTGCCAAGGTGAATTCATCAAGGATGTGAAACAATTTCAGAGACTTGTGGGAAGATTGTTATATCTTTCTATGACCCGACCAGACATAGCTTATGCAGTGAGTGTTCTTAGCCAATTCACGCATGCCCCTAAGACCACCCATTGTGGAGTAGCTGAAAGAGTTCTCAGATATCTTAAGAAGTTTCTAGGTGTAGGTTTATTGTTTCAAAAGCATAGGCATTTGAAAGTTGAAGTATATACCGATGCAGATTGGGCAAGATCCCTGAGTGATGGGAAGTCGACCAATGACTACTGTACCTTTGTGGGAGGGAACTTAGTTACCTAGAGAAGCAAAAAGTAGAATGTAGTGGCTAGGTCTAGTGCTGAAGCTGAACATAAAGCAATGTCTCATGGAGTGGCTGAAATTATGTGGCTAAAAAAATTTGTTGAGCGAGTTGGGATTTATAGTTGATGGACCTATGACTCTATACTGTGATAACAAAGCAGCCATAAACATTGCTGCTAATCCTGTGCTGCATGATAGAACTAAACATATCGAAGTCGGCAAGCATTTTATCAGAGAAAAGGTTGTCACAGGGGAAGTGTGTACTCCCTACTTCAGTTCTGAAGACCAACTTGCAGACATCTTCACAAAAGGGTTACATCACTTGCAACATAATGATTTATGTGACAAGTTGGGCATGATTGACATCTATGTCCCAACTTGAGGGGGAGTGTTAAAAGGTTGTTATTCTTTAAGTTTAGTACCAATGGGGTACTTTGGTAATTTTCACATCTTTTATTTTATGTTGTGTGGCCCTAGTATAAATAATAAAAAAAAGCTGGCGCCACCAGGAGCTCTTTTGGACTCTCAATCTCTCTTCTCTCTTCTCTCTTCTCTCTTCTCTCTTCTCTCTTCTCTCTTCTCTCATCCTTTCTTCTCTTTTGTACGACATTGCTCTTAACATTTAAACCACTAGTATAAATATAAACATCTTAACGAAGGAGATTAACTAATTATACCCCCTTTATATATTGATACAAGTGTATGACCAAATTGGGTTGGCATGAGTATTATGTAATGCTAAAGGCTAGGCCAATAAAAATTAATTGTAAATTTTCACTTAAACCATTTTCTGATACAATTTCTCACTAAATAGCTTATTTATTTATTTATTAATCAGCAGCCATTTTGGATATTCTTCAATGTCCCAACTGTTCATGGAAATTTTAACATGTAATTACATAATGCTTATGCAGTGGTTACATAAATACATTGCAGAATATGTATTACCATCACGAACATAAGCTCACTGGCTTGGGTTCAAGTCGTATTTCAGGATTATATGATTTCAAGCCTAAATATCTCAAATTTAGGCTTGGATTTGGATGCTAAAGACCCTTGCAAAACAAAGGAGGCATGCCCACATTTTCAAGAAACTAAGTACATGTTCTTTTGGTCCATCTACATATGCATTATGAAATGGAAACATGTGCATTATGAAATGGAAACATGAAAAGAGAAGAAAAGACGTTCTGATATGAAGAGAAATGGCAATGCCATTCTAATGAAAATGAACAGAACAGTACAAATGGACAAAGTCCCTTCCCAGCACCAAAAAAGTCACTACCCAATGCTGCCCAAGCTTCTTGCTGGGATTTACCATCAGCATTTTCCAGAAGTTACAAGTCAATCTAAGAATATCATCAGAGCAATAAAAGATATATTTGCAGATTTGAAGTGTACTGCAAAGTATTTCAGTTAAAAGCCAAACCTCAAGAAATGCCTGTTCAAGTTCTGGTGTGATCAAGGCAATTGATTCTGCATGCCTTTTGGCAGCAACTAGCTGCTGTCTGCAATTCTCTGACTCCTTCTTACCTGTATAACAAACAAACTAGTTAAATAAAAAAGAATTGAACATAAAGCAATACGTAATTCCTCATCACATGTACCCCATTTGAGACACTGACCAGAGAACCATGGAGAAGAAATAAGTGACAACAAAAACAATTTAAATTTAAAAAAACCAAGAACAATTTAAGCTTTATACCTTTGCACCACTGAACGTCAAAGAAAGAAATTTCAATTCAAAATAAGGATAACCACCTGAAGAATTACAAAACATGTAGCTTTTTGGCTTTCCCAAGAGAAACTCTAAATCAAAGGATGGCAAATTAATCTTTTGGATGCCTATCAGTTGTGCAACTTGGGCAGGCCCAACCAGACCAACCTGGCCCAAAATTTTACAGACTAGACCTGGATTTTTGGTCCTCAGTCTGGACCTGGGCTCTGGTCTTTTTCAAGCTGGGCCCAAGCCTAGCCCTAGACGCAGCCCAAGCTTAGTCTAATCCTGGACAAACTTGAACCTGGCCCAACATATATACACAATATACAGAATTCCTGTTTAATGGTTTTTATTGCTGATACTTAAATTTTGTGCATTTTTTAATACATTGGCCTAATAGGCTCACCTAAGCCAATTGACCAACCCAAGTCCAATCTGAGAGTATCAAATTTCAGTTCAGGTTGGGCACATCAGGCTTGACCTTGGCTCAGTCTGGGTTTGGGCCTTAAATCCAAGCCTTGGGGTTGGGCCTCGGTTGACCTTAAAGCAAGCCCAGCCTACCCAAATTGCACACCTACAGCCCATCCTCTAGTAATGCTTACTGACTTTATTAGTGTACCACTGGTTTTTGACAATTTGCATGATTCAAAAGCATGTCAGTAAGAATGTGAATGTAGCAGGCTATCCCCGGTTTCTATAAAGGAAGCTGTGTGGTTTTGTACCCTCACTACTTCAGAGCTGTCAAGCTCAATTCTGAAATCTGTTCTCCCATATTTGTGGTGCTTAACGAGATATTGAAGGTTGGGATTATTCAATTCTGAAATCTGTACACAGGTCTGATGAACTAATGGCAACTCCACTAGATCAGATTTTTTTCCTCTCAAATGATTATCATCTGGATGAGAGGAGTCTGATGGGCCTCGCAGATGAACACTTCAAGAGGGGCCTGATGGATCTCAAGCACCAGTGATCCAACAACAGATAGTCCTTCCAGAAATGAACTAAGGTGGACCATGTTCTATTAGGGAACTTCTTTTCCCAGATGATTTGTAATTTGTGAATCTCTTTCTGTCAAGTTCCCTGTTTTAAGCAAGTGAAAATGATCATGGGGTAGATTCTGTCACAGAGACACAGATCATAGGTCTTATTCTGAATATTGTACATTCTTGGAAGTTAACCTAGCTACTTGGCGGTTTGAACAGGAAGGATAAAAGTCCTACAATCATCATGTTTGGAAGAAGAGCAAAATCAGGTTTGAGATGGGATAAAGGAAGCAAAAGCAGATGAGATGAGACCTTACATTTGCAAAAGAAACAGAGAGAGAAGGACAAGAGAATATTGCTCAAAATAACTCAATTCTATTTTTTTCTATAACCAAATTCTCTACTAGCAAATTTAGAAAAGCACATATAGATTATAGAATGGATGATTGGCTAACTCATTTTCCTATTTCATATAAAACTCAAAGAAGATAGAAACTCTAAACTCAATCCCATCATGCACTAACACCCTATCAATAAATAACTTCTAAAATTCACATTGGATTCAGAAGATATTGCTCTCATTAGATAACTAACCAAAAAACATTTTGGAAGACACCAAAACCATGTAAAATATAAAAGTTCTATCTCTGAAAAAAAACCCAAAAGAAAGTGGTATGATTCAACTTAAGGTCCAAGAAAACTTTGTACTTTGTTCACTCGACAAATCATCTACAGATCTGAATTTTGCAAAAAAAAAAAAAAAGGAATACAAAAACAACTGCCTGGAATGCTGGATCCCAAAAACATTAGGAAACTAAATATTTTCCAAACTATTGATCCTATCAAACTTGTTCAAATAAAGAAATAAAAGTTCAAAATTAAAAATAACAACTTACAGTATTCAAGGTGCAGAGATGCTTGCATAGCAAGCTTTTCTTGTTGCTTGAAGTTGACTTCCAGTTCCTTTATCTAATCCATCCTCAAGGCAAAAGAGATTTCATAAACATGATCAGGCAATAACTAAAATTTAATATACAGACATCTATTTGGCCAGAGTATGTTCGCAAAACCAAAAAGAATGTAATATGAAGATCATGCAAAGAAAAGATGTAAGCACATTATCTTCTCAAAGTCAAAGAAAGTTCACTTTAGGGTCGAAAGGAGCAACAGAATGAGGATTTAAGAGAATATTTGCAGCCAACACATCTTTGTTTGTAAGTTTCCATCGGTTTCAAGAGGTAACTGCTAAGAAATATGTATTTGTGGCTCTACATATACACACATAAGCCTATATACATACAAAGTATGTTTGCTAGCATGCAAACAGGCATAAACACGCACAAATCTATGTTATAGTGCTTGCAGTAAGGAAAATAGGTACCCAGAGACCCCAGTTATATTTCATGTTTGTGTGCACACTTCTAATTACAATGGTTAGCATGGCAGCTGCAACCTAGAACACCATATATTAAAAGAACAATTGGTTCCTCAACTCGTCATTGCAGTATGATTTCACACTTTTCACTATGAGATCCCATTAACAGAATCATGCCCATAATAGGAGGTACAAGTTCTATGCATTTGCTTTTGAGAAGAAAAGGAGAACTATAAATGCAGATTTGCATGCTAGCAAACATACTTTATAAATGCAGATTTGCATGATATTCGGGAAAATAAATCTTCCAACTTACTCTAGTTCCATGAGCAAACACATTAAAAGAACTTTACAGGAAAAAATAAAAAAGCCTGGTACTCAATCTTAAATAATTCATTTTCTGCTCTTATAAATGCAGATTTGCTACTACCAATTTTAGTGAACCTGGGAATCTTCCATGTGGCAAAGTAATTTAAAGCATTGTCGAATATGCTGAGATATATTTTGGAAACATTCCATGTCAACAACCATGTAGCAATATTTTGTGGCAATATTATAAAGTATATACACATTTTAAACCATGCACAAGATCCCTCCAAATGGCGAAAATAGGTGGGTTCATCTAACGAATCTCCCTACTTGACCCAATTATATGTTGGAGACTTTGGAGTAGGTCTGCTAGTTTAGTCATTACTGAAATTCCCTAGACAACCCAGAATTCTTAATGTGATATTCCATTTAGAGCCCAAAAAGTTACCATATGTTGGTCTTGGTGGCCTCTATTCATGAATCAAGTTGCAGCAAAGAAACATTTGCCAAGTATCCGCATTCCACAATTAGGTGCAACTATAGATAAATAAAAACTTGAATGGCCATCATAAGCATACATGGCATGCCAGACAATGGATGGGGTGCTGGTCTTGATCCTAGGGCATCACGGTCGTCTCCTTGGAAAGCAATTCACAGCTTACTACATTCCTTCCTCTTGAATATCAGGTATGATGCTTGTGCAGGTAATATAGTGTGTTTCTGAGAAGATGTATGGTTTGGGGATACTTCTCTTAAAGACAGATTCCCATCTATTTATTCCCTGCCTCTCAACAAAAGGAGAGTAATATCCTCATTGTATGGCTAACTCTTTAGTTGCACAAAGTGTGATTCAGCCCCTTTGGACACCTGTGGCACAACAAAGAGTAAAATTGAATTTCAATGGAAGCTCATTGGGAAACCTGGGGCCCTCTGGAGTTGGGGGAATTTCCAAGGATGGGGAGGGCAGGATGCAAGCACTTTATTCTTGCCCAATAGGCATGGGAGATTCCTTAAGGTATGAGATTGGCCAAGCAATGAGGATATCAAAACCTTGAGGTAGAGGGAGACTCTAAACTTCTAATAGGATGGCTGCAGACAAAAATCTTGGGTGTATGGGCCCTTAGACAACAGATGAGGGAAATACTTTGCCTAGCAAGGGAAGTGGGAGTAATTTTCAAATGGATAAGGAGATCAGCCAATTCTGTAGCTGACAATTTGGCAAAGTAGGGGACTCTCAGGGAAAGCTCGTTTTGGGCTATATTGTAAGATTTGAGATTTGTATGGGGTCAACAATCATGCTCTGACCGGTTGACACTATTGTATTTAACTGTTATTTTAATGAAAGTTACCGTTTCCAATATAAAAAGACTTGAATGGATAACATTGTAGGAGAAATAACCAATATTTTTAATATGAATGTATGTTTTTGAAATTTTACTTAATATAATGCCTTATATAGGATCCCAACTATCTGAGGTTTTGGGAGGGGTGGACTAGATACAGTCCTAACCTTTGGCATTTTTTGCACAAAGTGGCTGCTTTCAAACTCGAAGCTGCATTTGTCAGTCCTTTGTTCTCCTTTATGTTTCCTTCTTTGAGAATGTGCCCTTTTTCTTTACAATAATCTCCTAGTCTACACCACTTTCCTTATTTGTCCCCCTCAACTTGTGTCTCTTCTTTCCACTATCTGTCCCTCTTCTGTTCAAAAAGCCTTGTATTTGTATCCCCTGATTGGACGAACATAATGGATGAAGAATTTCATACTTCTGAATCCAACCACACCCGGAAGCTCACCTCCTTTCTCACAGCAAACAAATAGTAAGGTGCACATGAGTTTACACTGTTAAACATTGCCATGATGGTAATGTTGATCACTATGAAGCATAGTTAGTAGCAAAGGGGTACACCCAGACATATGGAGTTAACTATAGTATACTAAGACTTTTCTTTGGTTTCCAAAATGGGTTTTGTGCAGGTGATTGTTTCCTTGGTTTCCCATTTTGGTTGGTCTTTGTTTCAGCTTGAAATTAAGAACACTTTCTTCATGGTGAGCTTCAAGAAGAGGTGTATATGGAGCAACCTCCTAGTTATGTTGATCAGAAGAAGGTAGAAAAGGTGTGTAGGCTTAGGAAGGTGGTTTATCGTCTAAAATGCAGAGGCGTGACAATATAGTGTTGATCATGTCACTATAGTGTTGATCAACCTCCTAGTTATAGTATAGGAGTTTGGATCATATCACTATAGTATTGATCAATGTTTTAAAACGCGGAGGCGTGACACGAGGCGTTCCACTACCTAGAGGCGTGAGGCGTAGTTCAGAACACAAGAGGCATAAGCCTCCCGAACACAAGGAGCCGTAAGTCTCCTTAAGAGGAGGGGGGTTAGGAGGAGGAAGGAGAGGATGAAGAGGAAGGGGATATCTCATTTTTTCTTTATTTTTAATAAAAATATTTTATACAAAGAAGAATAAAGATGCACAACATTAGTTGAAAGGCGAAGACCCCAGTTGAAGGGGTAGGGGCAAACCACTTTCTTTCCCCTTATCTTTTCTTCCCTTCCCTTTCCTTTTCTTTTCTCTTTTTTCTTCTCTTTCTTTTTCTTTCCCTTCCCTTTCTTTTCCTTTCTTTTCATGTTTTTCTTTTTTCTTTTTTTTCTGTCTTTTTATATAAAATGTGCATGAGGCGCATGAGGCATACACCTCTAGCACACCTCATGAAAAAAGCGCATGAGGCGTACGCGCCTCTTGCAGATGAGGCATACGCCTCAGAGGTGTTAGTGCCTCTGTCATACGCCTCAGGGCGATTTGGGAGCGCCTCCGGGCATACGCCTCCCACACCTTTTAAAACACTGGTGTTGATCACTCAGTCTTTAGTAGAGATACTTCATTACGCAAGATTTTCTTGTAGTATATGTTGATGATATATTATTACAGAGAGCGATACATGAGGAATTGATAAGTTGAAATAGCTTTTGGAACAACAACTCCAAACCAAGGACTTGATTTCTTGGGAATTGAGGTGGCAAGGTCTTAGTGGGGAATCTCCCTTCACAGTGGAAGTATGTGCTTGATTTGTTGGATTCATGCTTACTACGAGCTAAGCCAATTGAAACTCCTATTGACCCAAACACTAAGGTAGTTGATAACAATGTTTTAATGCCTCCGATTGATGGTACTGGTGGTGGTGGTTCATTAACAACTCTTCAGTCGTCTCTCTCCCATCTCCAGTGACATTGCAGACTTGGTCATCCGTCTCTTAAAGCTCTGAAGCAACTTGTTCCAGCATTGAGTCGTCTTTCTACTTTGGATTGTGAGTCGTGTCAGTATGGGAAACATCACCGGGTTTCCTTTAGTCCTAGAGTCGAGTATCGTTTATCAAATCCTTTTTCTTTGGTCCATTCAGACATTTGGGGTCCAAATAAAATAGTGTCACACAATGGATACAAGTACTTTGTCATTTTTGTTGATGATTATTCAATGATGACATGGCTTTATCTTATGAAAGAAGTGAATTATTTTCTATTTTCCAAAAGTTTCATGCTGAAATCCGCACTCAATTTGGTGTCCATATTAAGATCCTACCTTCAGATAATGGCTGAGAATATTTTTATACACCATTTCAGCAATATTTAGAAAGCTCGGTTGAGAGATTGAAAGATCTCTCCGGGGTGGCTCATAACAATAAGTGGTGTAAGTGGGTTTACACAGTCAAGTATTTGCCTAATGGTAGTGTTGAGAGATTGAAAGCTCGGTTGGTTTCCAAGAGTTATTCATAGTTATATGGTATTGACTACATAGAGACCTCTCTTGTTGCCAATATTTGTTTTGTTCGTGTTTTGATCTCCCTTGATGCTATGTATGATTGGCCCTAGTTTCAGCTTGATATCAAGAATGCTTTCTTGCATGGTGGTCTTCTTGAGAAGGTATACATGGAGCAACTGCCCGGGTTTGTTGCTCAAGGGGAGGATGGTAAAGTGTGTAAGCTCAAGAAAGCTATTTATGGACTTAAACAATCCCCTTGTGCATGGTTTGGAAGGTTCATTGAAGTAGTGAAAAAGTTTGGCATGAAACAGTGCCAAGTTGACCATTCAGTATTTAGTTATGATTCTTATGTTGGGAAGATTTTGTTGGTGGTATATGTGGATGATATTGTTATTACTGGTAGTGATAGGTTCAGGATTGATAAGTTGAAGACTTTTCTGCATGATCACTTCCAGACAAAGGATCTTGGCAAACTAAAATATTTCTTAGGGATAGTGGTAGCAAGGTCCAAACATGGTATTAACTTGTGCTAGAGGAAGTATGTCCTTGATCTACTGGATGAGACAAGGTTGTTGGGTGCCAAACCAGCTGAAACACCTATGGAATTGAATGTTAAGTTGAGTAGTGATATGGGTGAGGAGTTTGAAGATCCAGGAAGGTACAAAAGGTTAGTGGGTAAGCTAAACTACCTAACTATCACTTGACCAGATATTTCATTTGCAGTTGGTGTGATGAGTCAATTTATGCAGAATCCTCAGGTTCCTCATTGGGATGCAATTCAACCCTTTGGTGAACAGATCTGCCCATTGGCTTCCTGTGTTAACATAAGTTGTACTTATTACTCCACTAAGAACCATCTGTACCTGATAGAAGGTCGACTACAGGTTATTGTACCTTTCTTGGGGGTAACTTGGTGACATGGAAGAGTAAGAAACAGACAGTGGTGGCAAGAAGTAGTGCAGAAGCTAAATACAGAGCCATGGGCCCATGGCACATACAACTTATGAGTTGGTGTGGTTGAAGAACCTTCTATAGGAGATGAGGTAATCAATTGACACACTGATGAAGCTTTATTGTGACAACCAAGTTGCTGTCCACATTTCCTCCAATCCAGTCTTTCATGAGAGAACAAAACATATAGAAGTTGATTGCCACTTTGTGAGAGAGAAGGTTCTTAGTGGAGTAATAAGTACAACTTATGTTAACACAGGAAGCCAATGGGCAGATCTGTTCACCAAAGGGTTGAGTCAGGCAAGAGTAGACTACATATGTAACAAGTTGGGATTATATGATATATACTCTCCAGTTTGAGGGGGAGTGTTAGTGTCGATTATGTAGGGGTAGATTAGTCCTTTTGTTTATGTTTAATATGAGGTGTAATATTGAGTTAAATGATGTGTCCCATACTTAAGTAGGGGCACAAGAGTCATTTTGTATTGGAAAATAGAAATATTAATACATCCTGGCCGACTAGAGGACTGATTTTTCTCTCCTGTTCAAACCAGATTTCTCTCTTCACTCTTCTTTCTTCCCCCTCTTTTCTCTTTCTTTCTTCTTTATCTTTTCTTCTCTGATTAATCTGAAACCAACATGTATACAGATCTGAACTTTATCATAAAGCAATTTATTTGATAAATAACATATATAAAGCATTTTCAAGCATGTAAAACCCACAATCTCTTTTTTTCCTCAATTGCATTATTTCAAGTAGCTAATGTGATGTAAAACATATTGCATTCCTGATTCTATGAGCCGCCTTTGTACCAAGCCCCTAGAGGGAAGCCCAAACAAGTCCATGCTAGGGTCTTAAATTCTTAATTCTCACAAAAAATAATGATTTTATAATTTTAATTGCCTTTTAAGAAGATATCTTATTAGAATTAGTGAATGAGCAACATTAGCGAGTAGGGGGTTCTCGGAGTTAGGCGCATAGGCATGTCTGTGCTGAGGCACAAGGCGCATGAAAGGGCTGCACCTAGGACCTAGGAGAGGCACATACCCTAAAATGTGCATCGCCTATGCGCCTAGGTGCATCTTCTAAATCACTGATTGATAATGAGGGGGAGCTATTGGATGATCTAGAAAGATACAAGAGACTAGTGGGAAAACTTATCTTATTATCACTAGAGAACATAGTTCAAACCCTTCTGCTCTTCAGGCCTTCTGTTCAAGTTGGAAGATTCCCTACACAACCAGCCATATTTCTGCTGCATTGAGCAATGATGTGGCTAACTCAAGCAAGTTGGCACCTGTACCAAGTACCTACTGCTACTTCCTTTCCCCACCCCCACCTCCTAGCAAGGCTCCTGAATTCAAGCAAACGAATTTGCATGCTTGAGAACTTAAATGATGCAGAGGAAAAACTTAGAATCAGGCTAACCTTTCCTTGCTAGGTGACAAGATTCAAAAGCAAAGAAATAGACAGAACAGGGGATGGAAAGAGAAAAAGAACCTAAAAATGGTAGGAAAGCCCTAAAAAATAAAACAACATACACAAAGAGCCAACAGCTTCACAAGGACATATATATTAATAACCTGCAAAAGAACTGGAGAACAATCACCAGTTACACCAACTATTTTCTGGTAACTTCTCCACTTCCTTAGCATATAACTTCCTTCTTTTCTCCTTTCTTGATATTGTTCAGTTGTACCATCCACAAAGAATTATGACATCCCCTTCCCCTTCAACATGGAAAATGTGAAGTCTGTCATTTTCCCTCCATCTGTACTGAGCACCCTCCACTTCTAAGTCTACAAACACTGACATTTGGACCTTGCTTCCAGCTCCTGTCTTAGACTTCAATCTTCAAAGCTTTCTTGAAAACTATCACTAAATTTTCCTTGTTATTAATCATGAATCATGTTAGTAGTAATGCTATCACAAGATCTTGGCAGATGGGTTGGACATCAGTCAATACTGCCTAGAAGTCCAGGATAGGCCAAGGGATGGGTTGAATCACGAAGCAGGCAATCTGGTTTGCCACACTATTACATATTGGAATCATGTTACTTAAAAGTTTCTCAGATCTGTTATTGATAAAAAAAATTGGAGTCAACCTTGAGTCCTTGCAGAGACAAACCCCTTCCCCCTCCAACCAGACACCATCTAATAACATACCTGTCTGAGACAATTCCCTCAAAACTCCTCTCCTATCTTCACCTTGTTAGCAACTTCTCTTTTCTTGGTTACAGAAGTCCAGCCTTGAACATTTCTGCTAGGTCTAGCTTATTCACCAATCCTCGCTTGCCCCGGTTCCTTTTTACCAAATATATTGCTTCAATCCATCTTTAAAATCCGATTAAAGTGATATTCATGCTTGATATCTCCTACTTTGCCCCTCATGATAGTATGCAGACAGATTCCTTATCAGAAGATTCAGAACCACCAATACACTCCCAACTAGATTTGCAAGGGATGCAAATATGGTATAGGGAAGAGAGACTGAGAAGATGTGCAGATAGGAGGTTTTGTGTGATTGTATTACCTCTTAAAAGATTTTGGGACATTAATGGTTTGTTTTGTGAGCTAGGATTAGGGTATTCCCTTCAGATGTATGAGGTGCATCCCCCTGCTGCATACTTTTTGTTTTCTCATCTTAATGAATGCATTATTTATCAAATAAATAGATAAACAAATAAATTTCTTCCTCCCCTTAATAAATATCTTATTTATGAAGTAAATAATAAACAAAATAAGGCAACACTTGTCAACTAAAATGAAATAGTGCACTCACTCAAACTATCAGCACAAACAAGAAAACTGTTCCCAAGACCCAAAAATTTACTCTAGTCAATTAATGATGAATATGCTGCAAAGCTCAAATAAACACATACATATCATAATCGCCAAAACCCCATAGTGACAAGAAAAGTTGCTAGAGTACCTTTCTGTCAAGCTCAATGGATGACAAGTGCTTTTCGGTGAAGTTCCGTTTCAAGGAAACAGCTTCAATCAATAAATTCTAGAAAAAAGGAAATTACCCAAGAAAAATAATATATCAGAACTCAGAACACAAAGCTCAGTAAAGAAAATTGCATGCAAAATATCAGACATCATAACCATATAGTCTTCTATTCTTTTCTTTTTTCTAATCATGAGTAATCAAAAAGATTTATTAAGAGGGTATGATTTCATCAAGGGTAATAGAAGTTGGGGCATTAGAGGCCCTGATTGTTCATCTGACTACAATAGGCATCAATAAGGTAAGGGGGCATAGGTAGTACTTGCAGTGTTGGACTGAAGTCCAGTGGGGGTGCTTCATCAATCATCAGAACCTCTTCCTCAGAATTATCAGACCTGGCCTCTCATAGGAGATAACTCAAGTGGTAGTGAATTGGGGATCAATGGTATGTTGGTAGAAAGTAAGGAGAGCCTGGTGGAGGATTGCAATATCAAGGGTGGTGATGTAAGGTTCAAGTTGGTAAGGCCCTGGGCATATTTTCCTTGGGTGGTAACTGGTAAGACATATGCCAAGGTGACTTTTCAGCAACTAGATGAGTGGGAGATAAAGGAGAAAAGGGCAGTGGATGGGGACTTGTTTTCTAGCGGTAGTGGAACCTTTGAGTGCCTAGAGGAAAGGGAAGGGGGAGAAAAAGAAAAGGAGGCACCTAAAATGGTGGTTTTACCAATGTCATCTATGGGAGGTTCCTCTAGGAGCACTAGAGGATGTGAAATGGGCATCTGGGGCATTGTTTGCAGTGTTGCAAGAGCACTAGCCTTCAAAGGGGACTTGCAAATTGGCATGTATCCACAAGATGAATCTTGTCCAACTCCTCAAAACATGTTTTAGATTCAAGTACAGGGCTAATCAAGAAGATTTACCGAAATGCTTACCACACCAACTCTGCAAAATTACAAATCCCCACTCTAGAAGCCTCTAGTAACAGTGGTCCAACCATTTAAACTGTCAAATAGGGGACTCTAATACATGGTCCTACCATTTAAACATAACTTATGATCCATTGTATAGTGGATCTTTTCCAACTAACATTGATATATTGAAAACAATGAAACAACTAGTATGTCCACGTGGCAAATAGGCAAAGGCTGTTATTTTATGTGTCAATTGTAAATTGTAACTTTTTTTTTTGAAACTGTAAGGTAAATTGTAACTTATTATTTAAGTTGTTATATAGCAATCAACCCATTACCTAGAGACAATGATGGGTCCATTAGTTATGTTTAAATTGGAGAGAGAGAGAGAGAGAGACATACAAAAAACGGAATAACATTTACTATATCTAACCTGTGACCTGCTTACTGGTGCGAACGGATCACCAGTTCAACTAGCTGGGCCATCGGATTACTGACCAACTCAACCTTTTTTGCCAACAAATAATTCAGAGGGTGAAACAGACCTGGAAACATGACCCAGTCACAGGTAAAATGGTCCAATAGAATGGTTCAACCATGGGTAGAAAACATTGCTTATTTTATATATAAGAAAGAAGATGCCCTAATATTTCGATCTGAGGGCTCAGATCTTTTGATGGTCTGACCCATTTGACCCAAATGGTCAATCTAGTGACCCATCACCTAGAAAGAAACCAGGTCAATTTTTAAAACGCTTTAAGAAGAATAATAAAAATCATAGCATTTAATATAGACATCATCATCATCATCTAAGCCTCATCCCAACTATATGGAATCAGCTACATAAAAATCATAGCATTTAAATGCCACATCCATTGTTAAATTACGAGCGCTTAAATTATTTCTTACCATTTGACCCATGTCCTTTTTGGTCTGCCCCTAGACCTTCAAGCCCCTTCAACTTGTAACAGATCACTTCTTACAGGTGTTGTAGGCGGTTCTTTATGCATGTGGCTAAACCATATTAGTCTACTCTCACCTTTTATCAGCTATTGGAGCTATTCCTAGGTTCTTTCAAATGACTTCATTCCTAACCCTATTCTTTCTAGTTTTTTCACTCATCCATCTCAACATACACATTTCTACCATACTCATTTTTTGTACATGTTGTTTCTTGACTGCCCAATATTTTTTATAATATAATAATTATATTCACCAAAAAAGCATGGGTTGAAGTTGCTAAAAGTAATATGGATATGGCACTAAATAGAGATGGAATGGCAAAAAAGGATTATTTGAGGGATGCAAAAGGGAATGTGATAGCTGTGTTCTGGCCCAATCGGAGTGGGAGATTCCTTGAGGGCTGAGATATTAGCAACTCTGGAAGGGGTACAAAGGGCTAAAGACCTGAAATATTAACAAACTGATCATAGGAGACTCTGAGACTGTAATGAGATGGCTAAAAGAAGACAACTTGAGGCTTTGGAACTACAGAAGTGAAAAGAGGAAATTTAAATGGCTGACTAAGGACATTGAAGTCCGATGCACATGGGTAAAGAGAAGTGCCAATTCATTTACATTGAAGTTCGACAAGACCCCCCCCCCCCCTTTCAACTAGTGTTATTCATCTTCATTCTTTTTAATACAAAAGGTTTTTATTAAAAATAAAGAAAAATGAGATCCTCTTTTCTCTTCTTCCTCTTCCCCCTCCTCTTAAGGAGGCTTACGCCTCACGCCTCTAGGTAGTGGAATGCCTCGTGTCACGCCTCTGCGTTTTAAAACATTGAATAGGAGTTTGGTTTTTTGGGCTCAGTTGTAATTGCTCTTGTATTTGGGGTGTATGTTGGCAGTTTTGGACTTTTGGGAAGTTAAGATATTTTAGCCTCTGTAATCTTTTTCTTAATCTATTAATGAATCTTTCTTTTATTGATAAAAAAAGGATTCATGTAGCTAACCCCATATAGTTGGGACAAGGCTTAAATGATGATGATGATGATATAATAAATTAAAATAAAATTTTATTTATGAGAGATGTGTCCATGAATCCTGCTTTTTTGAGTTCATCATGTTGTCTAATGAAATAAACTATATTTTATGAGAGATGTGTCCATGAATCNTGTCTAATGAAATAAACTATATTTTATGAGAGATGTGTCCATGAATCCTGCTTTTTGGCACCAAGGGATGTAGAGGAGCTGCTAACAGGTGATTTTTTTGTACTCATCAAAAAAAAAAAAAAAAAAAAAAAAAACAGGTGATTTCTTTGTGTGGCAGGCTATGCTAACCAAATAGAGCAGCTTCACATACGAAATTTGCACTAAAAATTGAATTATCTGATATAAAATAGCACCTTGTACAGGTATCTGGGTATCATAGGTGCAAGATGTGGTGGTAAGGTGCAGAGTAGTATTTTGGGCATTTGGGGAAGCTTGCAGGACACTATCTTTGCAGGTCAGGTGGATTTTGAATTTTTTTATCTCTTTGGGTCTAGGAGCAGCCAGTGTCCATTTGGTTGGTAACTTTTAAGTAGGGCAGGGACTTACTATACCTACATATAGTTTTGATCTTTCGCTTCGGCCACAAAAGCATATTTTGTTATTTTTTTCTAATAAATTTTTATCTTACTAAAAAAAGTTAAGAGTATGTATTGAGATGCACAAAAAACTCAGAGGACAGATGCTTTATGTTCATACCCTCTACACACACAATATAGCATGTTAGCATTCCAGACTTCCAGTTAAACAAAACCCCTTCTATATAACCTGACAAAATCCTTAAGCCCCACATAATTTTATGCTTGTAAAAGATTATAATCACACACACAATAAGCAGGAAATCTGGGTGACTACGACCTCACCTTCATTTCAATAGCAGTTTTGAACCTTTGCATATTTAACATTGCAGCTTGATCAATGAGCTTTTTCATATTTGCCTCTAGGTTGTCTTCCTTCTCCAAAGACTCTAGTTTTTTCTTCCTTTGCACTGGAAACAATACCACAAATTAATATCGTTCAAAGAAACACTGAACTACAAGGTAAAAAGGTGAAAAGGCGACCAGCTAAACACTTCCCTATATGCAGTGTTTTTAAAAGTGCAAGGCACAAGGCAAGGCGTGCACCTTTTTGAACCAAGGTGTAAAAGTTTTAAAACATTTCAAAAAAATGCATAAGAATGCAAAAAAACAAAAAACAAATAAAAACCAAAAAATAAAAAACATTAAAAATAATATTAATTAAAAAGTACAGATTTTTTTTTTAGGAAAGGTGACAGTTTTATTAATAAATGAGAGAGTACATGAGGAGATGTACAAAACAAAGGGGAAACCCCAGAGGATTACACAGGAATCAAACTATTTATTGCCGTATAAGGCATCCAAATGGGCACCTATTTTAGCTAAACCATCTGCAACAGAGTTTAAATCCCTTGGAATCCAACTCAATTTTGCATTTAGCAGTTCCAGAGAGTCTCTAGCTTCTGTCAAAAATATAGCCCAAACTCCTGGATGTCTTAAATGTTTGAAAAAGCCTATTAGCTCAAATTAAAATGCATAAACATAACACAATAAATAAGGGTGTCAATGGAGTGGTTTTGGATTGGACCCCGTCCAGTCCAAAATCAATTTGGATGGAATGGACGGACCAACAAGACATATTGGATTGGACGAATCCGGTCCAAAATATTTATTAGATTGGATTGGGCCTGGTCTGTCCGTAATAAATTTATATTGGATTGGATTGGATTAAGCCAGTATCTGGTCCATTGATACAAGATAAGAATATAGGTGTTAAATGGACTGGGTTTGGGTTGAAACCAATATAAATCAAAACGAATTTGAACAGATTGGACGGTCCATACATTGAATTGGACCAATCCAAAATGGTCCAAAATAATTACTCACATTGGACTGGATCGGATTGGACCAAATCAAGTCCAATTGACACCCTTACACATAAAGCATATGCAAAGTGAAAATGTAAAAATAAAATTAAACATAGTATATAAAACATATTCAAGCACTCAACAATTTAAGCATGTGAAGCTTGCAAGCTCTTATTTGGGCTTAAATTCTTCAGTATAACAAATAAAACAAATTTAAAAAATATTACTCAAGAATTTAAGGCCCTAGTGTGGACTTATTTGGGCTTGCCTCAAGGTGCTCATCAGGGGCTTGGGGTCTCTAACCCCAAACCAGCCACCATGCTTAAGAAAGCACAGAAAGAACCAAATTCAACAAAGACACGTGCCTGTGCTGTGACACAAGGTGCACCAGGCACACCAGGTGTGTACCTTTCTAAAGTGGTTGCACCTGGGCCTGAGCAAGGCACAACCCTTGAAATGTGCCTTGCCTATGTGATTTGCCTATTAATAAAATACTTACCTATACGATTTTCAATGTCACGGCGTTTTCTCCTCTCATGCTGTACAGTGTTAGTAATCTCCTCCTGCAGAAACGAATAATAAATTGAACATGTACAAACATGTAAATTACATTAATGCCTTTTTTATCTTTATTTTCATTACAACGTACACGCTGTTTAATAAGCTTAGCAGTTTCATCCTCCAAATGTCTTTCTTCAGTCTGAAGTGTTTTAAAACTCTCCTCTAGACCAACAATGGTCTCTTCCAGTTCCTTTTTCCTGGACCTCAGCTTTTCAATTTCACCAACATCCGTACCTGTAAAATGTGACAATATAAGAGTATAAATATAGAATGTAGACCACAGATTGTGGAAATAAAAGTTTCTAGATACATACCACTAAGGAAAAGGCGTGAAGGAGGTACTGGTTCAACACTAGCTGAAACATGGCCACCATATCTAGAAACTGACCACCTATAATGATTATCTGGGGTCCAAAGATCAAAAATTTGTAGCCGTGGGGCCTCATCAGCCTTTTGATCGGTTTCCCTCGTCCCAATATACTGGAATAATATTTAAGAAGATACAGATATAAAATCCATCAAACCAAAATGTTCTCTAAACACACCTACCAATTTCAGACATCTTGGAATATATCATCAAATACTGACATGCATGTTTCATTAATTAAACTTTAAAAAAAGAAGAATAAAAAGTAAGCATACTGAATAGTCCAATCCAAATTGGTTGGTCAAAACCTCCTTGACAGCAGTAGGAGCATCAAAAACTTGGTCAAGCCTGGAATTGATGCCCAGCTTGTCCATCTGCTCAGCATAATGTAATGAAAACCTAAGTGAAATGATTTATCAAATACTACAAACAGAATTGAGACGTCCAATGATGACTACCTCCTCAGAAATTTCAAATGGTACTTTATTACTGCCTCCATCCCCTACATAATTTAAAACTGGAACACCAAATGAGCTCAAGCTTTTGACTAGCATGTCTCTATCAGCAGCATCCTGAGTAACAAAGGACTGCAATTCACAAATATGCAAAAAATGGCAATCAGAAATATGTATGGATACAAAGAAACTTAAAATACATCAGCAAAAATCACATTCATATAAAATGCCAATAATGAGTTAAAAACATAACACATCACAAGCAAATCATAGATACAAAAGATTTTGACAACTCTGAACTCTCATATTTTCTACATGTATTTCTGTTGTATACTTCGGGGCCATTACTTGGTATAATAGTAAAAACCCAGCCTCATAAGTGTGAGAATGCAGGTTCATGTCGGAGAGAGGCCACTTTGTGCAAGTTTAAGACTGTATCCAGTCTACCCCTCCCAAGTCCCCAGACCCAAAAAGCAATCAATATTGGGTAACAGCCTTATATTTCTTTTGTATACTTGATTTTTTTTCTTTTTTGGGAGTTTTTTTATCAATTCTTTTTGGGAACATTTATATTCTAAAATCTAAACTAAGATCATGCAAACAGACTATGTCAATGTTTTATGTTAAGAAAAAATATGAGAAAACTTATCATGGGTGCTGTTTGGTATCTAATTGTTGATTACTAATTTACAATGCAAACAAAATAAAAAAGGAGTTTTTTACTTACAAAACACATCACCTACGTGCTCCCTAGTCACCTAAATTCACATTGGCACCTGAAAACTATGGTTGAGGGTGAGTGTAGAAGGGATGAAGAGTATTTGCCACTTATTTGTTTTCGTCTTATTTATGTCCTATTATTTGTTATATAGTCCTTGAAAACATATTTATATACACATTGGCCCCTCATAAGAGCTACCTTGTACTTGTACAATGATTGATTCTTTGACACCTGTACATATGTTTCTCACACTGTTTCACTCTCAAGTAGACTGGTCTTTACCAAACCTAGGACAGATCAATTCTATCCAGGTTTACAAATACTTCCTACACCAGATAATACATCAATGAGATCATAATTAACATATAGCATGGCATAATTGGATAATTCTTCCAAAGAGGGGTTGAATACTTGTATTGTGGAGTTGGGGGCTTCAGAGATGTTTTATCCTTTCTCTGAGATCTTTCCAATCTGTACTCTTGTACACATATTGGGTAATGACCATTTTATATCTTAGTTATAGATCAAAAAAATTATTTCATGGTGATTGACCAATGGTTGTCCTCACTCATGCTTCTACAGAATTACCAACAGATATAAGCAAAAAAAGAATTCTACAAAGAACATACTCCATAGTCCAAAGGATCTTTAGACAAGTACAAACATGTATACCATGGCCTTTGATGGTACCCTAGAAATATAGAAAATCTCAACAAAGTGTACAGGCTATGGGACTCCAGATAGCTATGTTACAAATAACAAGGGTTTATGGGTCTCTAGAGTGCATAAGATGGATCAAGGAAATGCTGAAATAAACACATGAAAATATGGTACTGTAAAAGGACATTTATTGAAGCAGATGTGAGGCTATCAAGGAAAGAAGAAAATATCTGGCTGTTGGTAGCTAGAATCACATAAACAAGAGCTAAAGAAAAAAAAAAAATAATAACAACAGTTGGGGGAAAACAATACCCTCCATGCATAATAAGGAACATGGCTTTCTAGGTAAGCTGCATGAGTACGACTTGAAACATTAACCTGAGAATGCAATTCCAAATGAAATTACGAAAGAACAGAATTGGCATTCATTTCCTTAATAAAAGGATAATCTGCCAGTTAAAAAAAAAAAAAAAGATAATCTGACTTTAGATAGAACATAGACCTACCTCAATAAGGACAGGACCATAAACTTCCTTGTTTAATTCATGACGATGTTCCTGTAACCATTGATAAGCCTGAAAAATATTTTCAGATCCTGAATTTTGTAAAGCCTGTAAAAGTTTATTAGTCATATTCTCCATATCTCTCAATCTGCAAAGAATGCATCAAAGAGGTCAAGTAAAAGTTGTTAAAATAAAAGATGGACAATCCAATCAATGAAATGTTAGCCAAACAGAACCCTACTTGTCTAAGCACTGTCTAAGAGAAACCTTCTTCTGATGTATAAGTTTTTCCTTTTCTGACTTCTGGTTTCTTTTCTGAATTGCAGATACTTGCAGCTCCTTTATTTGAGTAGCTAATCTATCCTATTAACAGAAAGAGTTACACAGTCATTTCTCAGTCATGTCACGGACCAGAATCTAATCCTAAGCTGTATGAATCAATCCAATATAAGATCTCTTAAATATGATCAGCAATGAAAACATAAATTTTAGTTCCCAAGTATTTACTTAATGAGGGGCTAGAAGGGGTATGGGTAGACAAAAAAGGACATGAGTCAAAGTAGTAAGAAATGATTTAGGAGCAAATAATTTAACAATGGATATAGCATTAAACAGAATGGAATGGAGAAACAGGATTAATGTAGCCAAATCTATATATCGGGGATAAGGCTTGGATGATGAAGATGATATTTACTTAATGAATATAGCATGTAAGGGTTACTTGTTGATACCATCAGAAGTTCAGAACTACAAGGACAATAAAATTAAGAAAAGATGTAATTACATGTTAAACTGATAAATCATCATCATCCATGCCTTATCCCAAATTACATGGGGCCATTTGTACCGATAAATATCAACCCTAAAATCAGTATCACATTGAAACTGCATAATAAATTCATCTTATTAGGATCTACACATTTTAAGGTATAGCCTACAGAAGCAACAAGAACAAATTGATCCAAACACACCAGTTCATCCCTGGGAGGCTCATAGGTAGGCAAGCTTTCAAGTTCTGACAGAGAAGCAGCAAGTTCATCTTTAGCTCTAGAGATTCTTTCTTGACGAGAATACTCTTGCTTTCTTAAGTCTTTCATTTCTTCATATTTTCCTTGTATTTGCACCCCCTTGCATATACAAGCAAACATGTTAAGCACAATTTGAGTACATATCAATCACCCCCCCCCCCCCTTTTCCAGAGTAATATTGCACTAGCAATAGTAATAAACAAAATCACAAGAAACAAAAGGAATATGTTTGACATACCAAACGGCTTTCTGTGTCTAGGATTTCCATACGTTTATTGTTGTTGTTACTTATAAGATTGCTTACTTTTTTACAAGCAGCTTCTTGTTTTAACTTCACTTCCTTCTGTTTCCTACAAAATCAATTATTTCATTAGTGGTTTGTGCCAAACAAAACACCCAGAATTACAATATTAGAAACAAAAATGAATTTAGCACATTTCATAGTAAAAACAACCAATATGTAACATTGAAATGACACTTAAGAAATTCTTGTAATAGTTATTCCAGTTCATCAAAACCATTGAAATGATCAAAAGGAAAAAGAAAAGATCAAATTTTCAATAACCTAGACATAGAAAAAAAATAACTCCACCTCCATGAAAGAGTTTGAAAACCTCACATATATCTGCGAACTCATATAAATTCTAAATTAAAGGCAGAAATACCTCTTAAGAAATATGGAATCCAGAAAATCACAACTCTTGTCAAAAGGAAACACTACCCCCTCAGTAAACCCTACTTGGATTACCAATCCCTCAAGTAGCCTATGCCATAGACGCTGTCTCAGTACCTACCAGTCTTTAACATGAAAAGTCCAGACAATAACATATGAAAAAGCTGGAATTAAAGTCTCTCCAACCCAGTGTTTTAAAAGGTGCGCCCATAAGCACAAGTGAAGCACATTCTAATGTATGTGCCTGGCTTGAACCCAAGTACGACCCCTTTCAAAAGGTGCATGCCTAGTGCACCTTGTGCCTCAGCCCAGATGTGAGCCTTTTTTTGAAAATATGTATTTCTTTATTATTTTTTTAATTTATATTTGGTTTACAGCTTTGTAATAGTTTATCAACTTCTAAATTACCTTTTTACTTTTGTTGTACACTAAAAATACCCTATTAACTTCTAAAATTAACAAAACCAAAGACCTTGCAAATACCTAAAGCCTTGGTTCATGCAAATAGGAAAAATTAATACATATTAAATAAATTATTTAAATAATAATAACAAGTAATTAAAAGAAAAAGTAAATATACCACTCAAGAAAGTGATAGATATTGAATAATCATAAAATAATAAAAAATGTTAAAACATTTAATAAATAGTAAATTTAATAATTAAAAATAACCAACCAATAAAGCAACTAATAATAAATAATTATAAAATATGTAAATACATTAATCAAAAAGTAATGCATATTAAATAATTTTAAAATAATAAAGGAAATTAAAAATGATTTAAAATAATGAGAAATGTTAGAATTATTAGTAGAGTAATCAGTTATTAAATAACAGTTGAAAATTAATAAAGTAATTAATAATTAGTAACATTTAATTATAAAAAATCTATAAGACACATTACTCTATAAGATACCTTTTGGGTGAAGGTGTGTATGGAGAACTAAACTTCTGATTTTTGTGGAGTGATTAAACCCTGACTAATGGACTTGAATAAATTAAACCAGCAAATAGTTGTTTTCTGATTTAAAAAGGTAGAAAAGAAAGAGAGAAGGATCATGAATAGAAGAGGAAGGGAGAGAGGAAGAGAAGAAGTAGGAAAGAAAGGATTCAGCTAAATTATGTTTCTAGCCGCCCACTAACGTGTATTTATATTGTAATCTATTACAATGACTAACTACCATAATACCCTTACTTAAAACAAATGAGAGAAAGGCAAACAAGGCCCAGCCGGCCTAATTATTCTAAATAAAAAATAAAATAAACGGCAGGTATAAAATGTGGGGTTGGAACCCCACAAACACTAACAACATATCAGCTATCTCTACACTCCCCCTCAAGTTGGGAGTAGATATTTGTCATACCCAACTTGCGTAAATCTGTCTCCAATCTGAATTTTGTGACCGCTTTAGTAAAGAGATCAGCTAGCTACATGTCAAAGGTAACATAGGGAAGACACACTTCTTGAGATGCAACACGCTCTCGGATAAAATGTCTGTCCACCTCGATATGTTTAGTCCTATCATGTTGTATTGGGTTATGGGCAATGTTAATTGCTGCTTGATTATCACAATACAACATCAAAGGTTTCTCATAGTCAATTCCAAGTTCATCCAGCAAAGATTTCATCCATAACACTTCTGCAACACCATTGGCCATGGACCTGTATTCAGCTTCAGCACTAGAGCGAGCAACAACATTTTGTTTCTTGCTTCTCCAAGAAACAAGGTTCCCCCTTACAAATGCACAATACCTCGAGGTAGATCTTCTGTCATCAATATATCCAGCCCAATCAGCATTTGTATACACTCCTATCTTCATGTGTCCATTGTTCTTGAAAAGTATGCCTCTCCCTGGGCATCTCTTCAAGTAAGCAAATATCCTTTCCACCGCAAGAAGGTGAGTGGTCCTAGGAGAATGCATGTACTGACTGACAACACTGACAGCATATGAAATGTTTGGTCGTGTTAGGTAGAGATAAAGAAGTTTCCCAACCAACCTTTGATACATAGCCCTATCCTCAAGAGGTTCTCCACCTTCTGCACTTATTTTATGGTTCAACTCAATGGGTGTGTCACCAGGCTTTACTCCTAACTTTCCAGTTTCTTCCAATAAGTCAAGGACATACTTTCTTTGAGAGATGAAGATGCCATGCTTAGATCGAGCCACCTCAATTCCTAGGAAATAGCGCAGTTCTCCCAAGTCTTTTACTTCAAATTCTTTGTGAAGATTCTACTTAAGAGCATCTATCTCATTAATATCACTTCTAGTCACCACAATATCATCCACATAGACAGCAAGTAAGGTCAAAGAAGAGAGTGTGATTGAGCCTGCATGTAGCCGAACTTTTCTAATGCCAATCTAAACCCGTCAAACCAAGCTCTCAGAGACTGTTTCAGCCCATACAAACTTTAGTTGACAAACTTTCTTTCTTGCTTTTGTATTGTAAAAACTGGGAGGTAACTCCATGTACACCTCCTCCTGCAAATCTCCGTTTGGAAAAGCATTATTGACGTCCATCTGAAAAAGTGGCCAAGAGAAGTTCGCAGCCATAGATAGTAGGACTCTAATTGTGTTCATTTTTGCAACTAGTGCAAAGGTTTCCATAGAGTCTATGCCATAAGTTTGTGTGAAGCCCTTTGCAACCAATCTGGCCTTGTACCTCTCTACAGAGCCATCAACATTATATTTTACTGTAAACACCCATCTGCATCCAATAGGTTTCTTCCTCTTAGACTAGTAAACTAGTTCGCAAGTGTTGTTCTTAATAAGTGCATCCATCTCTATTTGCATTGCTTCCTTCCATTCAGGTATCAGAAGAGCCTCTTGCACTGTTCTGGGTATAGGAATGGTAGCAATAGATGCCAAAAATTATCTATAGGATTCTAGGAGACGACCATAAGAGAGAAACTGGGAGATACAATGAGCAGTGGATGAAGTACAATGACGTTTCCCTTTACGAATTGCAATTGGGAGATCAAGGTCATCTGAAGGAAAGGACTGAGGCTCAACAGTGTTAGGTGAAGTATCTGCAATAGTGGGCTCAACAATGGGTGTAATGCCTGGATCTAAAGTTGTAGGAGGTGTTGGGATCGGCTTGGACTGCTGTGAACGAGAACCAACCTGCCTCCATCACTGTCTGTGATACACTCTCAACTCCCTACACTTTTGACAACCCTCTTCACGGCACTCCCCTTCAACAACTAGGATAGGTAATGGAACTTCTGGGGCTGAAATCCCTTCCTCACGACTCTCCTCCTGAGGAGAGGCCCTATGATAGTAGGGCATATCCTCAAAAAAGGTGACATCCATGGACACATAACGCCTTCCCGAAACAGGATCATAACAACAATACCCCTTTTGATTTTGTGCATACCCAAGGAAAATACATTTAGCAGCTTTGGGATCAAATTTGGAGCAATGAGGTGCCAGGATTTGAACAAAGCAAGTACACCTAAAGGTTTTAAGGGGAATAGCGAACAAGTCCTTGTTTGGATAAGAAGGTTGAATGATGTTTTCATGTCCAAAACTCGTGAGGGAATTCGGTTAATAAGGTAAACAACAGTACGGATTGCATTCCCCCAGAAGCGTATGGGAACATTAGAGTTGAGCATAATGCTTCTGGCTACTTCCAAAATATGTCTGTTTTTACTCTCAGCAACCCCATTTTGCTGAGGTGTACGGGGACAAGTGCTCTGATGAATAACTCCATGGTCTAGAAGATATGATGCCAGGGGTTTTGCAAAATACTCCTTGGCATTATCAGATCTGAAAATTTTGATCTTGATTTCAAATTGGGTCAATACCATCTGATGGAAAGCTTGGGTCAATGAAGGAACCTCATCTCGAGAGTGCATGAGGTATATCCACGAGAAACAAGTATAATCATCAACAAATAACAAGAAGTATCTGTACCCCCCATGGCAGGAGTAAGATATGGCCCCCAAACATCAATATGCACAATTTCAAATGGAATATTGCTTCTTTTATTGCTCAAAGAATAAGTTGACCTACAATGTTTTGCAAGTTAGTAGCTTTCACACTTCAAACTAGACACTTGGACTGATTCAAACAAACTTGGAAGCAGACTCTTCAAAGACCCAAAGGACAAATGACCTAATCTGTTATGCCAAAGCATAATCTGACCCAAAGACTAAGAAACAAACAATCTCCAACTTCACTTTCCTTCCCCTGTGGATGCTCAAGCAGGTAAACTCAATTCGTCTCACAGCCAATCCCAATCACCTTCCTTGTTTCCAAATCCTGAAACACACAATGATCGGGAAAAAAAGTCATTGCATAGTTTTGATTCTTAGTAATACTACTAACTGAAAGCAAGTTAGCACTAAGCTTAGGGACATGCAAAACTGAGGACAAGGAGATGGCATCCGACAGCCTGATGTCTCCCTTGCCAGAAATAGGAACAAGAGAGTCATCAACAATAGACACTTTGTATTTGCTTGAAGATAAATAGTAGGTGGTAAACAAGGTGGATAACCTAGTCATATGGTCAGAAGCACCTGAATCTATTACCCAGAAGGGTCTAGTATTACCTGGGGCTGAAGTGTGATATGATGTAGCTCTTGTACCTGAGGTAGCAAAAGCTGAAGTAGGAATGGCAGGAGTAACAGTTGAAGACTGAGATGATGACCTGGAAATACCAGCTTCATTCTCCA